ACAGAACGCCGTCGCTATCTCGGTCTTGCTGGGGCTGACCTGGGTCTTCGGTCTGCTCTCGATGATCCAAGCTGCCAACTTTGCCTTCCAGGTCTTGTTCTCCGTCTTCAACTCGCTCCAGGGGTTGTTCATCTTCCTGCTGTTCTGCGTGAGACAGGAGAACATCCGCGCAGTGATTTGGGGGAAGTTCAGCACCATCAGTAAAACTAAGCGAGTGTTTTGTTTAAGCGGGAACGATAAAGTGCCGGCAGCGGGCAACGCCACTCAGGCGACCCGTGTGACGAGCGAGAAATCCCCGTCTGGTATCGAGCTTATGATGATCTCTCGTGACAGCCTGTACAAGCGGCCTTTAATAAACACCCGGCAACAAGAATGTCTCGATGAAGACCTGACACATCCTTTCGCCGTCAAACAAGATTGAAGAAGTTTTACCTAAACTTCGCTTAATTAAGAGTGAATATAATGCGTCTGCATTACATGCATGGCTGCGCGCGCCCGGAATTACAGTGCGCCTATAAAGTTGTCAAATTAACTTCCTGCACGTCTTATAGCTACCGGTGTAGCGTGAATTTAGGTTTTATGAAATACAGACTCTTTGGTTGTATTGCGCATGCTCATGCATAGGGACCGGTCACTTGAGAAAGTTTAACCAATGAAAAGGAAAAGGAGTCCGATTTTCAAGAGAGTCCAATTTTCATATCACACCGGCCGTAGTCCGAAGTAGTTTTGTTTGGTCGTAAGTTGAATTAAGACAAGACAAAAATGCTAATTTGACCCTATACTTATAATATTAAGGTTTATTTATCATTTCAAAGTTTGTAACATATATTTGTTAAACTGAAATCTTGTGTATATGTCAATTAATTAATAGTGTATTAATCGAAGAACAAAATTCTTTTTTTTCTTTTCTTTAAAGCATATTAGCATACCAGGCCTATATACGCCTATACGTTTTATTCACTAGAAATTAGCGATTTTTGTAATGGCATTTGCCGGTGAGATGTAAAATGAAAAACATAAAATGATCAACATTGTTGTAGATAAACACGTCGCATATTTCATAATAATTACGAATTCTTTCGAATTCCGAGGTTGTTCTTTTTCTTCACTTGTGCAGCATCCGTATTGATGCGTTGTTGAGACCACTATTTATGTGGCGCGCCCTCTATTATAGTGGTCTCGATCTCCACCACCAAACCCGATTTCGGGCCAACAACTCAAGAAATACACGTTACATTAAAACGAATTTTCGTACACTCATTTGTCATGATGTTTGGCATCAAAAGATTTCATTTCATTAAAAAAAAGTCCATTAATCAAGCTATTATGACCGTAACAATACAGGATTTTATTTGCAACCAATACAATCCTAATGGAAGTCAACATGGATTTTTAACGTTTAAAACACTATATTGTTACGATCATATTATATTTATAGCTCCACGGTTTCTCACACCATTCAAACTACTCATGCTACACATCGTGAAAACTAATTGCACGAAATTTTAATTTAATCCATTTGGAATTTCTTGAGTAGTTCATCGGAAACGAGGTTGTTCTTTTTCTTCACTTGTGCAGCATCCGTATTGATGCGTTGTTGAGACCACTATTGATGTGGCGCGCCCTCTATTATAGTGGTCTCGATCTCCACCACCAAACCCGATTTGGGGCCAACAACTCAAGAAATACACGTTACATTAGAATGAATTTTCGTACACTCATTTGTCATGATGTTTGGCATCAAAAGATTTCATTTCAGAAAAAAAAAGTCAAATAATCAAGCTATTATGGCCGTAACAATAAAGGGTTTTAATCGCAACAAATACAATCCTTATGTAAGTCAACATGGATTTTTAACGTTTAAAACACTTATCTAGATTGTTACGATCATATTATATTTATAGCTCCACGGTTTCTCACGCCATTCAAACTACTCATGCTACACATCGTGAAAACTAATTGCACGAAATTTCAATTTAATCTATTTTGTATTTCTTGAGTTGTTCATCGGAAACGAGGTTGTTCTTTTTCTTCAATTGTGCAGCATCCGTGTTGATGCGTTGCCGAGACCACTGTTTATGTGGCGCGCCCTCTATTGTAGTGGTCTCGATCTCCACCACCAAACCCGATTTGGGGCCAACAACTCAAGAAATACACGCAGTGGCGTAGCCACGGGGGGCTAGTTTGTCTAGTTTGTCTATTTTTCATGATAAATCACCTGGCCACCGTTCAATTTAATGCGTTACTTAGTTTTTTTAGATAGTTTGTCGACAAGGACTATCGTTTCCGAGCAAAATGAGGGGAAAATGGTCTGTTTTGACTGGGACTGCATCCTATCGCCAAGTTTTTCTCCGTGTTGACACAAGACACTATTGAGGGAGAGAAAAACAATATTTTGTCTTAATCTTCTGTCTAGTTTGTCTATTTTTCATGATAAATCACTTGGCCACCGTTTAAATTTAATGTGTTACTTAATTTTTTAGATAGTTTGTAGACAAGGACTGTCGTTTCCGAGCAAAATGAGGGGAAAATGGTATGTTTCGGCTGGGACTGCATCCTATCGCCGAGTTTTTCTCCGTGTTGACATAAGACACTGTTGAGGAAGAGAACAACAATATTTTGTCTTAATCTTCTGTCTAGTTTGTCTATTTTTTTATGATAAATCACCTGGCCACCGTTCAATTCAATGTTTTACTAATTTTTTTAGATAGTTTGTCGACAAGGACTATCGTTTCCGAGCAAAATGAGGGGAAAATGGTCTGTTTGAACTGGGACTGCATCCTATCGCCAAGTTTTTCTCCGTGTTGACACAAGACACTGTTGAGGAAGAGAACGAGAATATTTTGTCTTAATCTTCTGTCTAGTTTGTCTATTTTTTTATGATAAATCACCTGGCCACCGTTCAATTCAATGTTTTACTAATTTTTTTTTAGATAGTTTGTCGACAAGGACTATCGTTTCCGGGCCCCCACCCCCACCCCCGGTTCAGCCGCTGACTAATGTTATTATAAAATGGTGCCAAAGAAAATAAATGGAACGCAAAAGTTCCTAAATTTATTTTCAAATTGCATGAAAATGCAGGAGAAAGGATCGTAGATTTTACAATTATCCGGTGCCCGGTGGAACCCCCCCCCCCCCCCAGCAACGCGTTCGGCAAACCTTCACTCACCCCCCTGCAAGTTTCCTGAAAGCTAGATCCGCCCCTGATAGCACAGAAGCTTGCTAAGAAAAGAAAATGTTAGCTTAGCAAACTCTGCGTTTACCAGCTATTATGTCATGCCTTGTACATTGCTTGGGACAATTCCCGTCCGATTTCTGCAGAGCAAATAAATATGCTTAGCAACAGTTATTTCTAGCATATCGCGGCTCTACGAAAATTAAATAGGTCAAAAATTGCCTACGCTGGCCTATTATGTCTGCATAAAACCCTTCTGACAAATCCTCATAGTATTTCTACACATGACTGAATTCATTGTCCCGTTCTTGGAGTTGTCATGACCGCCACATAGTACAACCAAGGTCAATGCTAGCAACCGGCAATTCCCACGCTGCACAGTGACTAAAAAGCCGCGCAGTTCTCTGAAATCAGGCACTTATAACAATGACATAAGTATGCTTTAGTATTAAACTTGAAATGGAAACGCGACCCCAAAAAACTAAGTTTTTTCCCGATTGTCTTTTCTTTCTTCAAAGTTATGATACAAAATGGACCTGTCGGTTGAAGAAATACAAAACCCAACATTTAACGGCAATTTATCTCTTTTTTTCGCCTTTAATAACATCACAAAATTAAACTTGGCATTATTCTGCAAACAAGTGGCTCTTTTCAAATTGAACCCTATTGTCATCTAAACGCCAATGAACACAATCAAAGATACCGTAGCTTTGTCCGACTGTGGCTTTTTGTTTTCGCTCGAACTCCTCGTGAACAACAAAACTTCAAGCCGAAACGATAAAATGAAAGCGAAAGCTGTCATTATGACAGTGGGGTGATAGTAGCTTGTTGTGTTGAGATAATGTAGATTTAGAACTGATTGAAATAACAACTCGACTCGGATCCGGATGCGGACAAGGAAAATTGAGTTTGAGACCGAAGCATATTTTCGGGCAGGGGGTGGGGTGTCGAAATAATCAATGTTAACCACTCATATATTTAGATAAAAATCTTAGGCTTAATCTCGGGAATGAATGTAAGAAAAATGTATCTGTCATTCCTACCATAGAGCTAGGACCCATCCTACCAACTCCGTGGTTTATGTGTTTCTGAACTTCACCTTCCAATTCAACTATTTTACGGAATCTTGTTACAGCTAGGGTGCAGTGCACTAATTGAAGTGAGAATTTCTACGCAAGCTCATTAGCATCCAAAGTGCCCCCCCCCCAACTTTTTTGAAAAAATGAGACCGAATTGCCCTTTTTTGTGTGTGTGTAAATATAGCCGAGGACCAACTCCCTTGTTTTTGGGCTTCCATCTGAGAGCAGATCTGATGAAAATTACGGTTGAAAAATGGGTCCTACGTCATGAGAAAGTGGAGGGATGCCAATTGTAAAATGGCTGCATGCAGGCTTGGGAAGTATAACTTTTCGGGAGGTGAGTTTGTTTTGGTGTGAATGATTTAAAAATGTAATTGGCTAAATCACTAACAATTTTGAAGAAATAGACAGATGAAGGACAAGACAATAATTACATTTTTGTTTGAGAAACCCCATATGTCGGCTTGCGTGTTAAAAAAAAACAGCCCTGTTTAGGCTGAACTGTGTTGAGTTTATACGTTTTTAATTTAGAGCACTTTTCTAAAGAAAGTTTTCACCACGCCCCATCCTGTCATGAGAATTACAACAGGTGATCAATGATGATCATGTGACCGGTCACCCGTCCTTGACCTAGTTGAAGTAGCGCGCACTGCATGTGTGCTCAGTCATCACGCTATCGACCGTTGTGCAGCGATGTGGAACAAGAATTATCTCCACATGCCGTACCATTGAATCATAGGCATGGTAGAGTTCTTTGATGACGAACCACTGTACTGTCACTGTCATAAACTTACTGTGTTCATTGTAGTTGAGAGTTCGGAACGAAGGGAAGTCAAACTTTTACCAATACCATCCTTAAATAAAAAGTGATCGAAAAGGCAGTCTAGGAATGAAGCGACTTCGAGTCTTCGTGATGTTAATACTAGCGGTGATACTGTGGATGTTTGCCGGCGTTGTGAACTCACAAACCACTGGTGGAACCGCCACACCGATTACCACCACCACACCGTACCCCGGTAAGTTGTGCAGTTTGGTCGACCTTTTCACCGTCAGTAAATTTGGGCCACTCGGACCATGGAGGAATAAGAATTCCTCCATGCTCGGACAAGCCGTGCCTAGTGGGGAAGAGGGCCCTATACTCACCCAATTCAGGAACATTGACATCACTAATTTTTTTCCCGTTAGTGACCTATCACAAGTCATCAGAAAGAAGCGAAAACACGTCCTAAAAACGTCAAATTTAGCAGGGAAAATATTGAAGTATTTACTGAGCAAACACTTGGAATTGTTCAGACCAGTCTCTGCAGGGTGTCAAGTGATGTCAATGGCCTGGTCGGCCCATACACTTCGTGTGGTGCACATCATGCACAGGTGGTTCAAACCAGCAGGAGACAACAACAATTTGTAACTCCCTTCAGAGAATTTTCTTTAATGTTTTGCACCTGGGAGTGAAGGCAAGTGATTGTCCAGCTGTTTGAATAGATTGACCCTTCAATAATCTGGTGGCAAAGTATGGGGAGATGTGTAGAAATAGACCATTATTACCAGATGTTTCTTTTGACACAGTTGACTTAAATGCAGTTCTAAATGGGTGTTGGACTGGTTGTTCCATGTCCTAGTTTATTTTCTTACGTTGCATTTTGCAGCAGCAGTAGGCCCTATAGGTCACAGGTTTGGGACTCACATAAATTGAGAGTCTCAAATTTTCGAAGGACATGTTTAATAAATATCTATTAAATGTTCTAAGTGGCGTCGTAGAACTAGCTCCTTATACAAGTTATAGTTGACACATTCTAAGAAAAAAATCTTGCAACCTCATGCCACTTCCGCAATTGTGTATGGAGAGTCAAGAAAATTTTCTAAGTATTTCCTAACAAAATTGGGAACGTTTCTCAGTCGGTCCCAGATTCATGTCTTATCATCATTTTTGCAATGAATGACCTTCATTGAGATGATATATGAAAAAAAAAGTGGCGTCAGGTTGGAAAATTTTCCTCATTCTAGAATTTTGATTTCCTGAGGCAGATTTTGGAATCCCTATTAAAGGGAGGCCATGCAGTTTTAATGTACCCTGCGTTGAAGTATATTTTCGTAACACCTCAACCACAAATTTTCTTTCTTTTTCAGAGATACCTGATTAACTAAACCGAAATGAAATATGAAGGCCTAGGAGGCCTACTACTTTTTTTTTCAGTTCGAAATAACTACCCCTTCATGAAATGTTTACTCCAAACTCTACGCCCATCTGATCAAATAATCAAAAGGGACTGTGTACACACCCATACTGTACGTGTAAACAAGCATCCACTGGCTAGAACCATTGGTTTCTATGTGTATTCAGAATAAGGCAGATATTTTAGGCCTAAGTACATAGGCCTATATGACATGGTAAGATAGTCAAAATATATGCATATATGCACTCTCAGTAAATCAATAAACAAATCAAAAAATTAATGTGGCCTGACGTTGCGAACTTAGCAAGTTCTTCTTCAGAGGCTAAAAAAGAAATGACAGAGGTACATACATTAACATGGGGGTGCACACAAACATGCAGGGCTGAAGGGGGAAGGATCAAAGGTCACAGGGAGTGGGAACGGACAAAAGAGTGTGAGAGTGAAGGGGGATGATGGGGGGGGGGGAACAGTATGGAGGTGGAAAGGGATGAAAGATGGGGGAAGATGGGTAAACACAAACAAGGAAGACCAGATGGATTATCTGTAACAGAAGACAATGGAGGAAGAAAAGGATTAGGCCCTAATCATTTCCAAGTTGGATGTTGAGACCATGTGGTTGAATAGTTCGACGACGATTCATCCACACTTTCTCTCTGCTGAGGCGAACTGAGTCCTTGCGATGGCCAAGAGATTCAATGCCCTGCAAAATCATATCAGAAATGGAGTGGTTAGGCAGGTTGAAGTGATGACCAACAGGGGTGTCTAGTTTCTTGGTGTTGACCGTTGTTTAAATCAATAAACAGAATTATTGGGTGGGATGTTACATTATAGGCCCTAACAGGTAAATAAAGGAACACCTTTTATGCCTGTTATAAAGAGCCATATAGAATCGAAGTGTCAGGCCCCCTTTTATGCAGCTTTTTTTATTTGCCCATATTATAGGTCAATCCACTAAGGGTGCAACCCAGTAAATAGGCTAAAATTCTGTACGATGAGCTCATGAATAATATAATTTACATTCAAACAATGCTGAAAATTATTAGAGAGTTCGGAGTGCCATGGAATTGGGGAATTGAAAACATAATGGCACTGCACCCCGGCCTGGACTTGGGGCTTCCAATTCTGAGCATTTCAGATGCAGTTGGGTCCGAAAGTGGCGCTATTTAGCCATGTTGTGGAGGGATCCTTTTCCAAAATGGCTACTTTTCCAGTTTAGGAAATATCCATCAGTTTAGAGTGGCCTTCTTTTGGGTGGGAATTTCTCCAGAAAGTCATGGTCAACCCACCAAAAAGTGAAAGGGAAATGAAAGATGACATGTTAAGTTGATCGTCATTTTTCTGTGCAGCGTCAACACCTGTGACAACTTTCTGAGTATTTTAAAAAGAATTTCGAAGTACATGTATGGGGATTTATCACTGGTGTCTACTGGAATTCATTTTGGTTGAACCTCTATAAAGTCAGTTTAACTCTAACCGCCCTGAATCCTTCAAAATCCTCTTTGCCAAAGTGGAGGAATTTGGAGGATTGGGGTTACATGGCAAAAGTGCGTTAATTCCGTAGGATGCACTTTGTCAAGGTCTTGGGCCAGACCTTGTGTTGTTTTTGCATGGCCATGTATAAATATAGGCCTGGAATATGCTTGAAAATCCTTCATACTGCTCCAGGATGTCACGTCACGGTCCAATTAAGGCTCAACATGTTGACAGTCACTGCCACAGGATGTTGCAGGATTCAGGCAGTGGTAACCCCTCCATTGACCATCAAGAAATAATAGAGGAATTTGCAGGATTGAGACTATGCTATTTTTTCATGGGGCCAATTGGAGGATTTTGCAGGATTGAGGCTACATCCTAGCAAAAAGGCCTAAGGAGTTTTATTGTACGGTAGTTTTCTGCAGTTTCATCCACGCATGCTCAGTTGTTTCAGCGATACAATGTAGCCGTTAAGAAAATTGTGGGCTTGTAAAAACAGGACTACTGCAACAATAGACCGATCGGTTAAGCCTCGCCCCTTTGATGTTTGGACCAATCACAACCAAAGGTCTTGACAAAAGTCTGACATGTGAGCAGGCACTTTACAACGTTTTGAGGCCGGAACTTACATGTGTTGTTGCCCATTCATACATGTGCACAATGGGTGGGACTCAAGGGATCCGTCTACAGCACATTTCTGAGAACTTTTTGAAATCCATGAAACTTTCTTTCACTAAAATTTAATAAAGAAAAACATCTTTTAAACAACTAAAACAGGATGCTGATAAGGCATTTCTGAGGTACTTGCTGAACCAAACAACAATCAAATAAATAATTTATTTGTATTCAATTTCTATTAAACCTGCAAACTAACCTAAAGAAAATGTATAATTAAATCAAAAATGTTGCCCCCCCCCCAAAAAAAAATTTGAAATACTGTAGGATCCGGTCGCTAGTGTGCATAATGGTACTGTTACGTACCTTTTATGCACTGGTGAACTCAATTTTCGTGAGGACAAAAGAGTACTTTGTTTACGCAGCAACTGTATTCTGGTTACAAAAAAAGTAGCTTGCTAAATTTCAAAGACTGGGTGAATTTTATCGTGGGTCAGGGTCAATCATACACTCTACATGTAGGCTACATTGTGGATGAAATGAAAGTGAATTTGTGAAAGTGTTAGATGTAGGCCTATGTACCGTACTTAACATGGCTTCTTTTTAAGACCATTTGTATTGGGAGAAAGTTATCCGCCTAAATTCTAATTGATAACACAATAATGGGAAAGTACAAGTTTACAAAAACCAAAACTTTAATGTTGAATTCATGTGTACATATTTAGGCCTGCATGATATATAAAAAAATGAACAAATTGGTATTGTTTGAACTTTAATTAAACACTGTAGGCCTAATTAGCTGTAACTTTCCTTGTGATCTGAAGGTTCCTCCACTGTTGTGTGTATATAATCTCACGGTATCGGTACCCGCACATGTAGTGATTTTTCTTCCGTACATATGGCTTTATATGAAATGGACAAGAGTTTCATATAGGCCTATAAGACAAGTTTCGTGAAATCAGCCTGGGCTCTTTAAAGCGAAAACTGTAGGCCCTACAAAATGTACAAATGTATAGTATAGAAGATCTGTATTTTTTTCAATACCTGTGCAAATTTTTCCCTCATCCCTGAATGGACATATAGTTTCGAAACAAATTCTTACATGTATGTACATGTACCGTTATCTTCAAGTAAACTTGAACCCTCGATCCTGATTGGTCGATCCATGGCAACAAGCCGTGCTCCGTATAACCATGTAGCACGGCCGCGGTCCATACCGCACTTCCCGGCATTGCGCTACTCCAAGATGCGCACGCCATTACACGCACGTGTAATAGGATAACCGCTGAAAATCTTTTGAGTGCGTCAAGTTTGCTTGAAGATAAATTCGTTATCATGCTCGGGCTCGTGGAACACGGAAAATGTTGTGCGTCTGTGTCCCACATAGGGACAAACACAGACGCACTACATTATTCTGTATTCAACTCGCGCTCGCGGGATAACTAATAGTATGGTACATTCGAGGTTTTTTATTTGTGAAACAACGAGGTCTACTTTTATGCATCCCTATAGAACAAAAGCAAAGTGGCTTCATCAGTGCAACAGTTCTCACATAGGGATTTTTTTAGCATTTATGTTATCATTACCGTTTTACATTTATCTTTCTTCGCCAGAAATCATAATTGATGGTTGTCCACCAGTGATTGAGCCTGCGTATACCAGATATACCTGGCAACCAGTTGATGTTTATTGGAATGCGCCCTCTGCAGGACAGCTCACGCCAGTCACCGACACACCCCAAGGGAACCGTTTTAGTTTAGGAGTTACAGAAGTCACTTACATCTTCACCGATCCTGGTGGAAATTCAGCTGAGTGTGTGTTCAATGTGACTGTGCTTCTTCGTGAGTACTGTATGAATTGCTTCTCCCAATCAACAACCACGTTAAAGCCAGAGTCCATCATTTGCAGCTATCCCAAAAAGTAACCGGCGTAATTATTGTTGAAAAAAACTGGTTGAAAGATAGTAAGGGGACTAAACTCCCTGTGAAATTATCCTTTCTGGCAAGCTCTAATTTTGAAGAAATCAATGAAAGAAGGCATTTTCAACGGTGCTTCTTAAGAAGCACCGTAGGAAAATTTAAATCAGCTGTTCGTTTTGTTATTCGGCGCAGCGCGCACAAGCATTGGAACGACGCACAGGCGCGCGCGGTTGCTATAATTCGTTGGATCAGTGCGCAACATCGCGTAAAGCTGCAATTCAAAACAATTCGAAACATGATTTAGCAACTTTTGATTTGAAATTGAGATCCTAGAATGCTGTGTTTCTCGGAATATGAAGCTGAAGCTGAGCTGAAACTTCATCAGGTTAGTTGTTCAGTATCCTTCATTAGATTTTGAACACTTTTTGTTGCTTCAAACGAACAAAATGCACTAATTACAAATGATGGACTATAGCTTTAAAGAGAATGTACGATATTTGCTTTTGCTGCAATTTTCAGAAATAATTCGATTTGGATGATTAGTTTATTATAGCAAATATTGTAAAACTGACTTGCTTCACGTTTTGAGTTCAGAGATACTGGAAAATTTAAGAAAATCAACTATGTTTTAAAACTTTTTGTAGTCTGGTTTCCTGACCCCATGTAAGATGAAACGGAGCAATTTATAGACTTTGGGGAATTGTAAGGTCAGAGAATCAGTCTAGTTGGCTTGCACCCCTTCACAGGTGTGTAATCAATGGCAAAGAAATTGCGGAATAACTCAATATGAAAATTTAGGGGCACTTTAAAAAAAAAAGGTCAGTGTTCTCCAACGCTGGTCGGTCAACCAGCGTTGGAAAAATATAAGTTTTCTTGAAAATGTTAGCACACCAGGAGCCACGATTTACAGGATGCTTTGGACTGTCAGTCCCTAGCAATCCAGTAAGATATTTTGTGATAATTTCATCATTTCGTTTTTTTGATGTTTGCAAATGTTGTATCGTCCCTTTAAAGGCAATGTACATGTACATAGCATCACCAAGATATGAGACAAGAAATTATTTTATTCCCCGGTGTTTCCACATGCTATTATATCCTAGGTGGAATAGTATAGATATTTGTTGTATTCTTGAATGCATGTACCGGTATATAGCTACAGGTAGCTGAGATGAAGCTGTAATTGCCAAAAACATTTTTTTTGTTTTTTGGTCTAACGTTCTTTTATAGCAGTAATTTTAGCCCCCCCCCCCCCAAAAGTACTTGGTCTCTGGTCAGCGCACGCGTCGATTTTAATCATGTGCGTCAACCTTTTTTTTCCCTTCAAATTAACACGGAAGCTACAACAGTGCCCTCTATTGCCGCACCTCCTAAAATTTTTGTACCACAGAGCACCAAGGAATTGGGAAATTGCACCAAGGCAAAGGATTAAGGGCACCAAGGCAAATTATGGAGGACACCAATGTATAAGAGGACACAAAAAGCAAAATAGTACCCACCTTGTCTGTACAATTCAAGCTTGAAAAAAAAAAAGGCAAATAAAAAAATAAATAACCGCGTCGCCGCATCAATTCCAGAACTTCGGGCTGACCAGCTAGAGACTGATTTTTATTTTCTTTTGGCCTTATCACTATATTTCTTCACAAAATATGCTTTTAATGAGATTGTTTTTCCCTCAAAACTTTGGTATGTTTTGCTTTCACAGAAGTGTGTCTGCAGAGTTTTTCTTTTACTCTCAAAAACTGAACATTATGAACTAATGAGTCATAATCACACAAACTTTTTAACTTGCTTTTCATGTCCATACAGAGTGTCCGTCATCCACCGATCATCCTTGTGAGAATGGTGTGTGTGTGCCCACCTCAACTATGTGTGATGGTTTTAATGACTGCGGAGATGGTCGGTTTGGATCAGATGAACAGAATGGAGAATGTGAACTTAGTGAGTGTCTCTTTCATGTCTTTCGTACTTGAGAAAGGGCAAGTTGTCTAAATTAACCCTAACCGAACTCAAGCCGTCAAAGTTCAACAGCAGGTTTTGTTTTAATCTGTTGGGATAGGTACAGTACCCCTAAACTGCTGGTCTTTTACTCTGGGGTTGGCATATACCTGCAGAAACTAAGTCTTACAGTGTGTGTGTACAATTTCCCATGTGCAGTGGCGTAGCCACCGGGGGGGCGTGGGGGGGCGACCGCCCCCCCACGACACCTTGTCGCCCCCCCAGTCGCCCCCCCCCCCCCCCCCCCCCCCCACTGAGATTTTGAGTTTCTAAAAAAATTATCATTGATCTACACGACGCCATGAGCCCTATTATGTACTACAATGTATCTTTTGCTTAGAAAATATTGGTTAAAGTGGTCAGAAATTGCCTCAGATAGCACCACAGAGCATTTAGAATCCAAAATTTTTTGGGGCCCTTAAGCGGACCCCGAACCCTATGCCTATAGCTCAGAATTCTGCTAGCTGATTCAATGACTCCAACCTCGAAAACAATGTTCACAAAATTTTCTTATGCCTTTAGCTGAGAAAACCTCAAAAATTATGTTTGAATTATTATCTTTTGTGCTAAGAAATTATTGGTTAAAGTGGTAAGAAATTGCCTCAGATCACACCACAGAGCATCGAAAATCCAATTTTTTCGGGGCCCTTAAGCGGGCCCCGAACCCCACGCCAATAGCTCAGAATACCGATAGCTGATTCAATGTCTCCAACCTCAAAAACGATGTTCAAATAATTATCATTTGCCAAGAAAATATTAGTTAAAGCATGGAGGAAAGTCGTAAGAAATTGCTTCAAATCACACCACAGAACATCTAGAATCCAATTTTTTCGGGGCCCTTAAGCGGGCCCCGAACCCCACGCCGTAAGGGCTTCGCGCTTGCATCAGTTATGATCAAGGTATGTTCCCCCCCCCCCCACTTTTGAGAAGCGATTGACGCCCCTGCTTGACACCCCCCCATGAAATGTTCCAGCCCCCCCAGCGCCCCCCCACTGAAAAATTCCTGGCTACGCCACTGCCCATGTGGGTGTTGGAATTTGCCAGAATGGGTTTGGTTTCTAGTAAATTAGGCTGGGGAGTTAGGGTTAAGCTACGTATAATGTAGGAAAGGCTTGGGCAATTTTACAACAGAATTAATTGCAATCAATTAGGAACACCTCCATATGATCGTACACAAAAAAATATGCAAAAAAAAAAAGTCCCTAGCTACCTACCCTATTTTCAAATGGCATGTATTCAGAAGCAGAAATATATTTTTGGGGGGCCATAGGCCACAGAAGAACTGAACTGTTGACATGTTTGAAGTCAAAACCTCCTTCTTTTTTTTGGTCTTCAAAGATATTACGAACTTCTCTTACACCTAGATCAAGCATGTAGATCTGCAGAACAGTTGCTTTATGGAGCCTGCGTTCAGCAATCACAGTGGATAAATGCAAGAGAAGCTGTCAGGCAAGTTGTGAAGGGGCAAGAAAATACTGTCTTCAAATTCACGGCTCCGTCCAGCGCAACAGAATTAACACGTCTTCACACGGTGAGTATTTGTGCTCCTCATCACTGATAGTTTATGGGAGGTTGGGGGATATAGGGTTGAGCCAATATGCCATCACAGGTTTCTCATTGGTCATCAGAAAACCCTCATCTGTATGCCTGCATACTGATTGGCAAAACCCAATACATGTCATACGGTACAAATTATGTTAGATTTAGCCTTTACTTCAGGCATGTCACATGGTAAGATCCATTTAAATATCTTACATGTTACCTTAACCCTTTCGCTACGGAATTTAATTTACCTTTTTTGTCCCAACTGGACGTAATTAATCGCTGGAAATTCCGCCGAGCGTCGATGTGGGCGCCGCCATCTTTAAATGTATCTCCGTAAACAAACTGCTCACAATAACCTGCAGCGCACCCCGGCCAGACGGAGAGCAACTTGCAGCGGCTCAAACTAGGGTCAGAGGTTATACGATATAAATTATGTAGATATGGCCCACGTCATGGGGGATACCCTGTTTATTCACAGCGACGCAACCGAACAATTTGTGTGTGCCGCTGTTAGCGGCTCGCTGTAGCGAAAGAGTTAAAGAGCCCTTTGGGCTTCGATTTGAGACAAATAAAAGAAATGAAATGAAATGAGGAATAGGTAACCAGTCTGGATTATATGTGACAGCCAGTCAGTGAGATAAGTAACCAGTCTAATTTATCGGTGTCATTCAGTGAGTTAAAAGGGTACATGTACTAGGTCCTGAAATTCCCTGAAAATTTCATGTTTTGGATTCTTTACTTAAATCCAATTTCAAACACCAGTGAAAAGAAACCAACATAATAATGTCTTACCGTTCCCGGGAAAAGATGAAAAAAAAGTTGGTTGTTTACATCGGACACAGCGGAGTACAAATACTTTTATCCTGTCGTTCTCAGTCAATGTACGAGATACACGTTGTGTGTCAATACAGCACCATGCTTGTGAACAGCAGGGCCCAATCACCAATGTGGAAAATGTGGTTTCTTACCCGTCTGCAAAAGAAGAACACTTTACGGATGAAATCACAACTAGCACCCAAACAGCTCGACTTTTTGGAGTCGCAAAAATTGACCCCGAAAGACGTTCTCGCATGCATAATACAGGAATAACACAAAAAATTCCAAGTTTTGAAAGGATAGTTGTGTGGATGTTTCTATCGTACTTTTAAATGGTCTTTCTGATTAACATTTCATTCAAGGCGCGTTTTGTAGCCCAATTGGGCGTTTTCCAGGACGCAGTGTCCCTTTAACCGACCCAACCTGACTCGAAAATCGCAAAAACCAAAACCGACCCGACCTGACAGAAATGATGGACAAACCTACCCGACTCGACCCGAAGTTGGTTTCAGTTTCGGATTGGATTTCAGTAATTCCAACATTTTGACGGTAATTTTGTTTTTAGGTCCGCATCAATGTGACCGACATTATTGATCTAGAACGGAAGGAAATACCGTCACCCACCGTCTTTCTCAATATTTCATCCTCGTCCTATTCTACAACAGCGAGAGCCCAGGTATGTACAAGGAATTGTATCCTAGCAAATGTGATTAGTACCGTAGGATGCAACTGAAAGAAACTTCCAACCCAAGGAAAATACTTTCCCATCTGTTTTTACTAAAGGGCTGTATTAACACAATTTTGTTGCTGTTTTGTACCCATACAGTGTAGGTTCATGTAATATACAGCATATTAAAACATTTAAAAAACAAAACTACATGTACTCAAAATCATGGAAGACCTTATTGGCTGTATTTATGAATTAGGGTCTCAAGTGTCCTGTAAAATCCTGGCATGTATTTTGGGAAAGAATGTTGCATCCGGACGCCAATTCGGTGATTTTGTAAAAAGTCTGTGGAGTGTCAAGAAAATTTTGCAAGTATTTCCTAACCAAATTGGAAATGTTTCTCAGTCCCAGATTCATGTTTTATCATCATTTTTGCAATGGATGACCTTCATTGAGATGATACGAAGAAAAAAAGCAGCGTCAGGTTGCAACATTCTTTCTGTGTTTTGTGTGAATGCTAATTAATTAGGGTGAGAGCGAAGAGTTGATTGAAAACATTTGTAATATTTTGTTCCATAATGTTACATCAGGTTTCAGGACAACTTGGCACCGGTCTCTTGGAGATTGAGATACGCCTGGCGTTGCCTGTCCAACCCAACGAAGAGATCCTAGTCTCCATGGAATTTGACGACAATATTTTGGCGGGCAGACCCCCCTTCCCTGCAGAGAGCACTAACATAACCAGTGTTTCGGTCAGGTATGCCACCTTCAAGCCTGGATGTGACAACAGCGACTGTCTGGATGCGTTTGTCGCTTGGAAGGCTGTTGTCCAGTCAGCTACCAGCGGACCGGGACCGAGGGTGTGTGTCATTCCTGAAAGTGCTGCGTTCATACAGAGCATCTACGATTCTTGCTTGGGTATGTTGGTGTCCAAAAACGTTACCTTATGTTTAGAGGCAAGTTTTGTCAGTCATCTTTACATGCTTTGACACAGGATGTTTACTGTTCCCCCCATTGTGCATGACTAGAATTTTAAGGTGGAACAATTACATATAATTATACGAACGTCCTTTTTTGTCGTGCTCAAAAACACTATTCAAGTTTAAGCTGATGTTGATTACAACATTTTTACTGTGCTTTAGATGTTGTATTGCCCAAAACCACCATGCCATATTTCTTCAAACAGAGAAGGCATTGCATTATCGAAGTCAAGATGCTTTGTCAGAATGGGAATAACAGAGCATATACAGGGTGGAATTGGAGTCCGGGAGATGTCAATTCAATATTGAGTTTGGTATGTCACCGTATTTTTAGTGTCATGCGCGGGCTTGCATGACAAATTTCACAAGCTTACTCGGGTGGGACTCGAACCCACCACCTGCTTTCTAATGCATAACTAGACTAGTGCATAAGTTAGCACCCGAAAGAAAAACCCAGAAACTGTTCATTTGTACTGGTTTGTTCTTACAGACCTGCCAGAGTTTGAATTTGTCAGTCCGAGTGTGTCAGCACCAGTAGAATCTCAGGTGATTCTTAAGTGCATCGGGCGGGGTGTTGTTCCACCGCTGGTTGAGTGGTATGAAGATGGCAATGCGGTGGCATCTGGATATGGTGCTGCAGCTTTTGAAGTGTCTGTTGGAGAAACGCGAAGGTTAGTCTATGACAGTTTTTTTCTGTTAGATGGTTAGATAGTTACATGTAAATGTTTGTGTAGCCAAAAGAACATTGGGGTTACAAATTGTGAGAGAATTTCTCAAGATTTAAGACTGCTTTGATCTAGGGTGTATCCCACTCGTTTCAACATAGCTAGACCCTGCCAACCCCAAGTGAAACCAAAATGTGATTGGAAAACTGTTGTAAAAGTGGTGGCACCTTATGTATGCTGAAAGTGTCACACGACTAGATTGCAGTAGTAAAGTATAGCCCTTTAACCGTGCATGATGAAAAAACTTAGTAAAAATCGCAAGAATAATGATATGCTAATGAGAATACAAGTCACCAAAATCAGTCTTGTCCACATGTTGTTGTTTTTTAAATTGGAATTTTTGTAGTTCACAAACGTTTGAAACCTTGCCAACAAAATGTTTTGACCTGGTAACTTCGATTGAGGCTGTCGGATTATTAACGTCAGTTTTGCTGTAGGCTTACATGTACATGTAAGTTCATTATGGCATAACATTACATAACAATCAAACGTCACGGTTGTTACCCTTTCCAATGTTAAAATGGGCTTAATTGTTTGTGCAGTCTTTTCAAATGGTTGTGCTCAGTCAAGCGGATGGAAGGTATACCTCACTGGACAAACATAGCTCGGAGACCAAATATGCAATTGCAACAATTTTTTTTTTCACTTACGCTTAATGGCTAGTACTTTAATGGCTGCTGATAAAAAGTTTAAAATAATTGTTTACCCTAACCGCCCTGAATCTTTCAAAATCCTCTTTTCCCAAATTGGAGGATTGAGGTTACAAGGCAAAAGTGTGTTACTGATTTTGTAGGATACACTTTGTCAAGGTTTTGGGCCGGACCTTGTGTTGTTTTTGCTCAGCCATGCACAAATATGGGCCAGGATTATGCTTGAAATCCTCCGTACTGCTCCAGGATGTCACTGGCCAAGCCTCAACATATTGACAGTCACTGCCGCAGGATTTTGCAGGATTCAGGCAGTGGTCACCCCTGCACGGACCGTGTTCAAGAAGTAATGGAGGAATTTGCAGGATTGAGGCTATACGCTATTTTTCCATGATGCCAATTGGACGATTTTGCAGGATTGAGGCTACATCCTAGCAAAAAGGCCTAGGAAATTAGGCTTAAAAATAGGTGAAAATTGCTGTCAAAAGTGAATTTCCTTTACTTTGAACCACCCTGTAGAAATCTCACAATGTTAATGGGTGAATTCCCTAACAGTAACTCCCCTCCATGACTCCCCTTTGCCATTTCAGTTTCCAGTGTGTCCTTGACAACAGTATCTGGTATGGAGAGACTGTGACCGTGTCGGTATGGAGTAAGTACTGTATTAAACTCCTGCCGTTATTTATGTATTTTATTTTTTTGCTGGACGTGGCTGGGGATTTTGTTACAGTTTGTGATCAGTCTTTTGGGACTGAGAAACATTTCCAGTTTTGTTAAAAAATGCTTTAAGAATGCACGGGGGGGGGGGGGGGGGGGGGGGGGGGGGGGGGGGGGGGGGGGGGTGGTAACGTTCACACACCCCTGGATCGCCCACTGCATACTATACCAGTAGGCATTCACTCTGGGACTAGCGAAAATAATATCATGTGTAATTTAAAATCAATAAAGTAAACAATTTGACATATCTTTCAGGTGAGGAATGCCAGAGCCTCGATCAGGATGTCCAAGACGTATTCCAGCTTAGCAATCCCTGTTTCAACGATCAGATGCTGACGTTGCTTAACGATGGCCAGTCCCGAGAAGTTAGCTTTAGTTATTTTACAACGGAGCCTATAGTGGCATACAGACTCTTTGTACCTGTACTGGCCTTTGTGGGTTACGTTGAACCTGATTACGGCAGTGATGCGCCAAACTCCGGCCAGACACCTGTTTTGCTGCCAGTTCGGCTGACCATGACACTACTTAATCTCTCGCGAAAGCGTAGAGACGTTAACAGTGACGAGATATATACCAGAGAGTACAGGAACCTTTATGTACCGGTGTTAGCATCTGAGAAAGTAAGGTTTGTCTTGGACCCGCCGGTTTCCATCAGTGCCTCCAGAACACTTTTCGTCAGCGTGACGGTTTTAGAGGGCCAGGGTGGGTTTGTTGAGAGACCACCTGTTGGACCAGCTCAATTGGCTGCGTTGAGTTGCACACAGAGCAACGACTCTACCTGCGACAACTTACTGGATGACTGGTCTCAGAAACAGCAGAATCTCGAAGCAGCGGGATGCAGAACTGAGCGGAGTCTAGAGTTGATGGCGTATCAGATTTGCCAAGGGGCATCCGCAGCTGGTGAGTACAGCATGTATGGCCATAGACTTGAGGACAAGTCGTTAGACAGTTTTGTCTCTCGGAAAACTGGCACTAATGTTTACAATTGTCCTAGCCTCGACATGTCTAACGACTTGACCAATGTGTATTTGGATGGTTATTCATTTATGCGCCCAGCAAAACTGATATGCATTACGTTTTTATAGGGAGGGCCAATCGACAGCCAACCTGTGTTGTTGGGGGAAGCATCCATTATTTCAGTGGGATATATTTCACTTGCTAGATCAATACACACTTTTTTCTTTATTTAGGTTTGCAACGACTTTCAATAAAATGTTACACTCAATTGTAGATTAGAAAATCAAATGTCAAAATCTTGTTTTTCAAATAAGAGCATGATATGCATGGATGCCAAACGACCCAGGAATTAGCTTTTGATCCTACAAGCTACATGTATCAAGCTCCAGGCTATACATTACACGCATTCACGTGTACAGACACGTGAACCGTACCGAGCGCGACACGTATCACATAACTGCCAGGTGTGAATATTTGTATCCTACTGATTCAATCAGAGTGCTCCGTCCAATTTTGATAGCGATTCTCATACGTTGTGCATAAAGCTGAGAACAAATCACGTTGCTAATTGGAATTGAAGCACATGCATCTTGAAGTCCAGGATGTGGCGGCGCGTGCGTGGTGGGTGAATTACACATCCAAGTCCTGACTTGATTTTCACAGCATGGCCGAGAGCGAGTCACATGTTACTTTCCAATTTTGCTATCATTCTGTGCACGGCCAAAAGTACTATACCCGTAGCAACCAAAGTACTATACCATATATACCATTAGCAACCAAAGTACTATTTCCACGGCGCGGTACTTGTGTGCAAATGGATGCTGGTGTGCGCGTAGCGCGTATTGTTCCAACGAGAGCGCGCCGCAGACTTGGGTTCAAACATTTCGTGAAGGGGTAGTATGGAAGAGAGAAATACATTTTCCACCAATTTTGTATTGCAGTTGAAGTTTATTTCAACTGTGTTCAGATTTAAATAATTTAAAATGTTAAAATCAAGCAGAATCTGTGGGTGAATTGTCATAAAACAAATATTGAATGCTTTATCTCGTGGTGAAGTAAAACTAGCCTCCCTCGGTGATCCATAGAGCATTCTATTTTCCCTGGGCTTCGCCTCGGGAAAATAGAATGTCCATGGATCACCTCGGGAGGCTAGTTTCACTACACCACTCGAAGTATTCAATATTTGTATACTATGATATTAAAGTAAATAAATTAATCCATTGCATATATCTCACTCACAAGCCTTCAGTTACACATACATTTATATTAGTTTTACAATGTGCAAATAGCACACGATACTACATACTTCATGCCCTTCCCTTTAAAACAAGTATAATAATTTAGCCCTCTTGGAAACCCCCCCCCCAAAAAAAAATCTTACTAACACAATCAAGTAGGATACATTGTACATGTATGCCATAATAATTCGGCAACTTAGCATTTGTAATGTTTGCAAAGGTAGTGCATTAGTACATGTAGTTTTTTGTTTCTTTGTTTCATTTTCTGCTTGCTACAGAGCCAGTGGTAATTACTCATCCAAAGTCTGTAGACGTCACATTGTTGCGAGTCATCGACAGTCCACCAGTAGGAACGGCCGTTATGACCTGTTACATAGAGAACGCCGTGGAATACGAATGGTACAAGGTTGCCCCCGTTCCGGCTCGGAAACTCGTCAAGAGTGGGAGCACGCTTTCCTTCACGATTGGACAGTCTAATCCTGGTGACCAAGGCTCATACGTGTGTGTCGGGAAAGGCGGTGCCCCGTACAACAGCACGGTAGAAACTCGGCCTGCTACTCTCACTGTTGATGGTATGTACATGTATGTACATGTATGTGTAGTAAACATCGACAACCACAAAAATCAGAATAGCATCAGATTGTTAGGCCAAACAAATTAATAGTTCTGCTTCCGGTAACCCTACCTACCCTATTTTGACAGCCCCTGCCCTAATTTTGTTTGGGAAAAATGAGGGGGAAAAAATCAGAAAACCATCCATTACTACTTTTTACCGTTAACAACATGAAGACATCTCCATATGGTCGTACACAAAAAAATACCCCCAAAAAAACCCTCTACCTACCTATTCTATTTTGAAATACCATGTAATCGGAGCAGAACTCTATCGATCAAGATTTCAAGTCGCATGTTTTCACAGTGTTAGAATGTGTCAAACCCTTACATCAAGACTGCAGCTAACAGAAATGTTTCTGTACAACACTGTTCAATAAAATCTTTGTACTAAACTTCAAGAGATCAGTAAATGTCTGAGAGCTACTTTAGCTAAAATGTCTTTGTCACTGTACGCTTATGTGACTGAGCAGTGATGTACGACATACAATATCCTGAAGAGTTCTGTCTCAAGCCAGGTTCTCATAGTGCAAAAGCGAATGCTAAATGTTGAAATCATGGCAAGTATTCGGGCTGCGAATTTGCAAGAGCTACAATTCAACTTGAGTGAATTTCTAACGCCTGGTTCGTACATGTATAGTGCGAAAGCAAATGAAAAATTTCGATGACGCAACAAGAATTCGGGACACGATTTTGCAAGAGTGGAAAACCTTACATTTCACCTTGAGTGAATATCGCTGCCAATATTTTGGTGACGTCAGCAGGCTTCACATGAAGTATGGACTGGCCTTTACTGTTCAGGCCAATAATGAACATTTCTGTTTCATTCCAAAGGTTTTTCAGTGTTCAAAGTGACTGCCAGGTTCGTGGGTTTGACGTACACAGGAAATCTGAGTGATTCAAACAGCCAGGAATACATGAGCCTTAGTGGGGATGTCCGAAATCGGGTAAGAACAAAAACCCAATACAAATGTCAAATTTGTCAATTATATAACACTTGGACCCACATTCACGGCGCTGCTTAGCAGTTAGCAGAAAAGTTGTGCTGAGCATAGAAGAAAAATTTGTTAACCTTAAGCACTACACTGTATTTCAAGGCATGGATGTGCTAACGGTCGCACATGCACAGAGATTTCTATTGTTACGTCACTAAGTTAAGCTAATTTTCCAAGCAGTTATTAGCATGCCTTTTGCTGTGCTTATGCTTACGGTCTCCATGAAATAGACGGAGGCTCTGGTAGCAGAAAATCACTTGCTTAGCAGCGCCGTGAAATTTACTTAAAGCCCGAGTCCATCATTTGCAGCTATCCAAAAAAGTAACTGGCGTAATTATTGTTGAAAAACATACTGGTTGAAAGATAGTAAGGGGACTAAACTCCCTGTGAAATTATCCTTTCTGGCAAGCTCTCATTTGAAGAAATCAACGAAAGAAGGCATTTCCAACGGTGCGTCTTAAGAAGCACCGTAGGAAAATTTAAATTAGTAGTTCGTTTTGTTATTCGGCGCAGCGCGCACAAGCATTGGAACGACGCACAGGCGCGCGCGGTTGCTATAATTCGTCGGATCAGTGCGCGACATCGCGTAAAGCTGCAATTCAAAACAATTCGAAACATGATTTAGCAACTTTTGATTTGAAATTGAGATCCTAGAATGCTGTTTTTCTCGGAATATAAAGCTGAAGCTGAGCTGAAACTTCATCAAGTAAGTTGTTCAGTATCCTTCATTAGATTTTGAACACTTTTGTTGCTTCAAACGAACAAAATGCACTAATTACAAATGATGGACTATAGCTTTAACCTACTCCATGTGCTCTGACCAAAGCCTGAATGAACGCATGACGTGCATACGCATTGAGGCATTGGATATAGGTGCATATTATGCACATGTTATTTCCCAGCCTTCAATGGGCTCCGTGCGCCAACAAAAGAGGGCGCTTTTGAGAGCTCCGTGGACGGGACGCGCGATCAGGCTATTGCGTAAGCAAATCAACAGAGGGCGCCCATTATACACTTATGTCCGTGGTGCTGAGCACAAATATGCGTAAGACGGTTGCGGGCACCAACTCAGGCAAATTGAAGACATCATGAACGTGCATGCATGCAGTGCAAACGTCCCTCATGTGCGTGTGTTTATGCTGTTGTATGGAGCTATAAACATGATAAATGCTGGACAGAGCAAATTTCTCACTGGCGACCGATTGTTTGCGTAGATTAAGAGGTAGTTTGGGTAAAAATACAACTTACTCGCTTCGTTTTTATTTAATTTGTTTCCAAACAAAACCCACCCATCATTTTTATGTCCATTTGCCAAATTCTACCCGTCATGTTTTATTGTCCATTTCGCAAAGTGCTCGTCCAAAATCACAAACTGCCCGTCCAAAAGACTGGAGGACGGGTCGCAGAATTTAGAGACGAGACGCTGAATTTAGGTGCATTGATATTTGCTCAAACATGGCGCTGTTTATGAATAGTGATATTTCTCTGTGTCTCTTCAGTTCGCCATACTGACCGATTCTGTCCCAGCAAGTGGGTATGGCTTCGACATTGTCGGCTTCAGTCCTGGTAGCGTCATCGCTGATGTCATCGTATACGTCGGTCAGCCTTTCAGCCCTGGCATGCTGGACAGTGAACTAGCAGAGGAAATTGCAACAGCTCTCAATACTCCTCTGCCAGAGTCACTAGAAGTTGAAGTCGTTGAAGTCGTGAGCTTAGGTAGGAAGGGGAAAAAAAAGAAAAAGTGATAGGATGATTTTTCACTTTCATCTTTATTCTGCTTCAAATTCTAAACCTTTTAGAATCTTGCTCTGTCTGCGTGCCAAAAGTCAGTCTCGCTGTTATATAATTGGACACATTTTGAGAATACAATAAAACAAAAATGTGAAGTTTACATACTGTTTTTGTTTTTGTACAGTTTCATATCTAAGCAAGTTTGTCTCTTTTAAATGGATATATCACATTTTGGATATATATGGTAACTTCTTAAAGCTATAGTCCATCATTTGTAATTAGTGCATTTTGTTCGTTTGAAGCAACAAAAGTGTTCAAAATCCAATGAAGGATACTGAGCAACTAACCTGATGAAGTTTCAGCTAAGCTTCAGCTGTACATTCCGAGAAAAACAGCATTCTAAGATCTCAATTTCAAATCAAAAGTTACTGAATCATGTTTTGAATTGTTTTGAATTGCAGCTATACGCGACGTCGCGCACTGATCCGACGAATTACAACAACCGCGCGCGCGTGTGCGTCGTTCCAATACTTGTGCGCGCTGCGCTGAATAACAAAACGAACTACTAATTTAAATTTTCCTACGGTGCTTCTTAAGAATCACCGTTGGAAATGCCTTCTTTCGTTAATTACTTCAAAATGACAGCTTCCCAGAAAGAATCATTTCACAGGGAGTTTAGTTCCCTTACTATCTTTCAACCAAGTTTGTTTTTCAACAATAATTACGCCAGTTACTTTTCGGATGGCTGCAAATGATGGCCTATAGCTTTAACAGCTACATGTATGTACGTACAAGAGAGGAGGAATGTAGAACGGAGTGCTGTATATAAGCAGTGATAGTAATAATGAAATCTATATATATAAGAGAGAAGTTTACTCGCCCCCGAGACGATGTTTGCTCCTGAAAGGATCCGAGACCGCGGGCTCCTGCGGCGCCAAAATCGCTCCACGTCCGTGGAAAAATGCGGAGGGTGTCTTCCGCCGGGTCGGACGCATCGGGTCGTCCTAATTTTCCCGTACGGACCGGCGATCCGTTTCGTCGATTTTTCGTGACTGAATTTTGCACAGGAATTTGCCGTCGTGTGCGCTTTCACGTTGACTGCCTGGCCGCCCCCCGTGCTGGCTTTTCTGCGTGTCTAGACTGTGCGAGGTCAGCGAGGTCAACATAGGAGTTTCGTTTACGTGTTCTACTCGGCCCTTCTGCAAAAGCGTTCACCAAACGTTAGTATGTGGTGACCTTGGTAAAATATTTTTTCTCCATGGTGCGTGGCCACCAAGTGTCCCTATTCTTTCATATGCTTCGCTTGCCGCCCCTGCGCCGAGTGCAACGAATACTCAGAAGGACTACACATTAAGTATGCCTTGCCGCGGTCTGACCAATCGAAAGTCTACACTGCGTAGTATTTCCGGGCTATGCAAAACTGTCGATGGCAACGCGTACTGCAGCCTGCTCCACACCCTGGAAACGAGGTTGGGTCTACGGTGCTCGCTATTTGAAGCGCAAGCATGTGACGTGATAGAGTGCTGTTGCTTCCATAATGTGTTTACAGCTCCATGCTTCCACCACCAAGGCTTAGCGTTGTGAGTTCGCTGCCCGCAGTGTCGTGTTATAATTTCGGGGGCCTGTTTTGGGTCAACGAAGGATCGCCGCGGTCTCGGATCCTTTCAGAAGCAAACATTTCTAGGAGTAGGAGGCCGAGTAAAACTTGCTCTTATATATAGATGGTTGAACCAACTTGAATAAAAGTTGAATCGCAGACGGTCTCGCAAATTGTAAGAAGTTCAAGTTTACGTTTGTTGAAGAGTCCAATGCTGTAACTTAATTATGACCTTCCTCCATGATTCAGACCGTTTGTAATTTTTTGGTAACACTCAACATTTTTATTTTAAATGACACCTTCACGTTTTATTGCATTATCATTTATTGTCAAACTGTACAACCAGCCTTCGACTGTGTACTACAGAAACCTTCTCACTACGTTTTCCAAATGCGACTGCCTCACAAAAAGCCAATTTAACAGACCAACGGCAACATTTACGACAGTTGCCATGGTACATAATTATCATGTGCGTAAATCGACGGGGGACAGGGGACCCCCCCCCCCCCCCACACACACACACATTTTGAGGGGGGACATTGTTTGGTCTCCCCCCCCCCCCCCCACACACACACTTTTTCTTCCCCGAGTAAAAATACTGTAGCCTACAATAATGATTCTATTGCTCAGAATACATGTAGCTGATTCAATTACTCAAAACTCAAAACTTTCACAGATGATCTTTTGCTCAAATTGGTTTTAGTGATCAGAAACTGCCTCAGATCACACCACAGAAATTGCTATTCTTTAACTGCATGTCTCCCCAACTATATCCCCCATTTACATTTAACTCCCCACATTTTCATCCCCAACACTACGCCCTACCCGATCTATGATCGGGTAAACCAGCTTGTCCCTTAATGAACTCAAAATTCCTAACATTGTGGACTCGCAAGTAAATTATCCAAGCAACGTGACAAATGTACACAGAAAATCCACCCTTGCCAAAATGTGTACGAGATCCTTAAATGCTAGTTCGATGCTTCTGAAAATGTTGCCAAGATGGTGTTAAACTGTTTATTTTATTTTAGGTTCAACTTCTTTTTTTTTACTGCAGTCACCTGTTTTGGTGAGGAAGTTGACGGTCTGAGGTTCCCCCAGGCTAAAGTTGGACAGACTGTCCACTCAGTGGAACGTTGCCCAGAGATAACAGCCAAGGGTAAGGTTTTAAAGTTAAAAAAGTATCTTAATTTTCAAATTATAGGTTTTGCCCTTCACCGACGTTTAAACACAGTACACTCAGTGTGTTACCTCCCCAGTGAAAGTTGGAAAAAAAATCACTCGGGTGGGACTCGAACCCACGACCTCCTGCTTTCTAGTACAGATGTCTTACCACTCGACCACCAAGCTAAGGGATCGTTTGGCTGGTTCGAATCTGATGTACATAGCAGCAGGTACCGCATAAACTATTCTTTTGCGTCGGGGTGATATAAATCAAATTATAGATTTTGCCCTTCACCGACGTTTAAACACTGTGTACTCAGTGTGATTTTTTCCAACTTTCACTCGGGAGGTAACACACTGAGTATACAGTGTTGAAATGTCGGTGAAGGGCAAAACCTATATTTTGATTTAAATCACCCCGAGGCAAAATTTCATCTTATACGTAATATCTTATTCTTGGCACAATTTTAAGAAAACTTTACAGTCGTGTTCATCCTGTGTCAAATCACAAACCATAACATGTTGAGTCACAAGCCCAACCCAAGTCAAACCAAGAATGAAATTTGAAAAAAAGGAATGTCTTTTGTTACTGGTCGTTGAAATAGCCTGTCACTTTTGATTTAATACTTGTGATGACGGGATAATAACTCTATTCTAACTTCCCGCTCAAGAGATACCAATTGCAAACCCGACCCGAAACGGACTCAACCCGACTCGAAACCGACTTCAGGTCGGGTCGGTTTTTCCATCATTTCAGTCGGGTCGGGTCATTTTTACGTTTGCGTTTTTCGGGTTGGGTCAGGTCGGGTCGGTTAAGCCATTTAGAAAAAACCCGAAATTAACCAAAATAAACTGAAAAAAAAAACCAAAACAGTTTCAAAATTCACACGGTGAAATATTTATTGCCGAGTCAAGGTGCCCGGTACGCCCAAATGTGGTTTTCGGTCTATGAACATGCATGGTCTATAACATGTAGGCCAGCCAGTAGGTCACGTTGTGAGTACTGTACGGTATGAGTCAGTTACTGAGCTGCAGCAGAGAAGAGGCCAAATTGATGGTCACTGATGAAAATTTATAATTTTCTCGGTTAAAAAAAAAACGCCTAAGTTTGCATTCTAGCAATAATGCCCGTAGTTATGGTTAGAGTAATGTATTTAATGCAGTTTGCATAGTCATGATGTTTACAATGACATGATATTTATGTGCAATTCTGGTGGTTTTTTTTGTGTGTAGCCGGTATGCCACGGGGTACCAGGGATTGTGCCGGTAACATACTGTCTGAAGCAATATGGCTAGGCCCTGTTCTACTGGATTGCTTGGATGGTGAAAATGCCAATGCTCTACTTGAGGAATTGTCCCAAGTAAGTACCAACATTTTGATTGTGTTTAAAGGGAATATACATCATTTGCTTTTGCTGTAATTTTCAGAAATGGATGGAATTGGGGGGTTGGAAATATATAGCAAATATAGTTACACTGACTTTTTGAGGTATTGGGTTCAAAAATGCTATAAAAACCAAGAAAAACAATCATTTTCCTGTAGTCTGGTTCCCTGACTCCATTTAAGAAGAAACAGAGCAGTTTACATACATTGGGGAATTGTAAGGTCAGGGAACCAGTCTAGCTGGCTTGTACCCTTTCATAGGTGTGTAATCGATTGCAAACAAGTGCGATGGTCAACTGGGGCCAGTATTTGAAAAAAGCCATCGGCCGATCAGCGTTGGAAATTGATACAAAAATACCACTTTTCTTGAATATGACAGTATACCAGGTGCCATGATTTTACAGGATGCTTTACACTGTCATTCACTAACAGTCCAGCAAGGTATTTCAAAATGATTTGGAAGTTTTATTCTTTGATGTTTGCAAATGTTGTATTTTCCCTTTAACTTGATCGGAGTGTGATACAAGCGTAGTGGGACTTTGCCCAGTTTGAACCCTGGCAGGGCCAACATGTGGTCTGGGTTTTTGCAGTCCCTACCTGATTTTGTCAGTGCGCTACACTAACCTTAACAAAATGTTGTATTTACTTCCATGTCTACTACCCAGGGAGCTTAAAAGAATTAGAAGATTTTTGTATGCCTTTGAATGATAAGTCAAATGATAATGAACTTGGTTGGAGCTTCAGTGGTAAGGGATAAAATAATCCCTTAAAACTGGGGGGGGGGGAGGATTTGAAGAAAAGTTAAACAAAACATTTGTTTTGGTCCAAACTTGATGTTGAGTAAAAGAAGCTTTAAAATAAATACAATGTAATACTAATTGGTTTATCTCTGCATGTGTAGATAGGTAGTTTATGCGATACGGACAGTGCTAGGCTAAGTCTTGGATTCTGCCTCAACCAAAATATAATGTAGATTTCACAAGTTCTGGTTCTGGTGTGTAGTCTCATATAACCAGGGGTGTGAGTGGAGTCCAAAAAAAATAGCTGAAAATAGCTGAACCTGTAAATAACCGAACCTGCAAGCGCAAAGCGCGAAGCCCTTACGGCGTGGGGTCCGGGGCCCGCCCAAGGGCCCCGAAAATATTTTGAAATGTAGATGCTCTGTGGTGCATTTTAAAGCCTCCTCGCATGCCTGCATGGGCCAACTATTGGTCGAAAATGTTTTGCAATTTATGCATGTTTTTAAGTTAACTTTTCCTTCATGTTGGCTTGAAGCTGCCTAAATGGCCATGAAAACTGGGAAATTCGACCACGTTTTCCATATTTTAACTCCTTACTGCAGATGATACACATCGTCATCGCGTGTCCCGGCTTCTGATCGAGTCGCCTAATTTCTGCTGATTAACCATGTGTTCCATCCAAATCCATTTCCACGGATTCGTAACCTGAGGATCGGCTTGTCAATGTCCATATCAAACTCCGAACCTCTTTGGATAATAACACATTTGTGTTGCACTGACATCTTGCGGAATTAATAATGTCAAAATACGTTCGAAACATTTGAAACGACACACGAACGTACGTATCAGCATGCAGCGGAATACGCAGCAGGATGCGTGCATGCAATGAAATGCACACATGAACTTTGCCCTGCATGATGCCCTCTACCGTCGCGGCACGGCGACAATTTACTAGTCTTATTTCAAGGCTTTATATTTGCAACAAGACGATGTTTACAGCGAGTTATTGTGGAGATCATCGCGTGTCACTACATGCATAGACACAGGAACGGCCGCAAAGAGTCCCAACGCGCTTCATGGCGCATGTGTGAATATTCATATTTATCTGCAGCCAATCACAGCGCAATGACTGTTGGTTCCCCGGATGCTGTTTACACGTTGTGTACACACGCGGCTTCGAGCTGAAAAATGCACGCACATGGCATCGTATAGTACACACGTACATGTACAGTACGTACGTATGTACAATGTACATGTACATTGAATACTTGCTTGCACGCACCCCAGAGCTATGTGTATGTTGTAGAGAGCGGATGGCGTGCGTTCGGTGGCGGCGGAAAATAAAATAAACGGAAATAAAATCAATGCTTACGCGCGGGGGAAAAAAGCGGGGGGAAATCTGGACCATCGGAAGAAAAAAAGCGGAAAACAAAATGTGGCACGCTGAACAAAAAAGCGGAAATCCGCTAAATAGCGGAGATTTCACACCCCTGTATAACATTGGTTCACGTTCAATTGCTCATGCAGGTTAACGTAACGAGTGAGAATGTTCCAGAGATTGCTGATCAGACAGTCGTACTGACGTCTAATCACTCACAGATCGATGCCTCAGGAATCATGGCTACTGCCGATATCCTGGAGAAGATTGTAAATGTTGGCACCCCATCTACTGAGGTAAGAAGCCATTTTTTGCCCAATTTGTTTTTAGAAAAAATATTGACTTAAAACGTGAAAGGCTTTGATGTTCAAAACAGAAGCGGCTGCGTTGAAAGATCTAACTGTTGTTTGAGTATCGTTTGGGAGGACTAAAAAATTAAGTTGATGGAAATTTAATGCATTACAATGACTTCAAGGTATATAGCTAGGATCATTTGCATTTATCCCCAAAGTAGCCGACCAAATTATTATCAAAATTCTTACTTGGATTAATATCATACTTGTACTGAACACCATGTGAAAATATTCCATTTGGCTTGCTGTCATTTCGAAGAAATTAAAAAAAGTAGGTGATTTTCAACAATCAGTCAATTGTCTGAATTTTGGAAATAAAGAAGTGCCATTGAATAAACTGTTTCATGATCACAAAATTGTATGTTTTTTTTTACTGTTTTCTCAAAAAGTGTAATATCCACTGAGCTGAAACTTCCCCAGGTTAGGTTTTGAACATTCTTTGGATTTTGAGTGGTGTTATTGCCAACGAACAAAATGCATGAACAGCAAATCACCCGTGTGCCTTTTAACCAAAATCTGTTTCGGATTCTCTCCTTTTGGTTTAGCCGAATGCTACAATGCTATTCTGAATGTGTATTAGTTTTTAAGTCAGTATTTCGATTTGTATTTGAATTTAGGTCGCTCTTGATGTTGTGAGGGTCGTCAACAACATTCTTCAAGTCGATGACGAGACGTACGAGGATCTTGGCGAGGACCCTTCCCCCTCTCGCATCATTCTGGCCCTAGAGGGCTACATCACGGAGCTCCAGACCAGCAACGCCACAGGCAATCTGACCGCAGTGCACAGCGATATCGCTGTCGTGGCGATCGTCGTACCCCAGGACTCCCTCCAGATCGGTCTAGGGTTTGCTGCCGTGCCCCAGGGCTCCGGTCAGGAGGGGGATTCCCCCTTGACTGAGGATGATGTCATGGTGTACTTTGAGCCAGAGAGAATCCCTATCCCAGACGTCAAAGCCTCCATCACGCTGCCCCCAGAGATTCTGGACTTTGTCTCCCCAGGTATGCCCGACACAGTATTGTTGTACTTGTGCTTGTACTCAATTTTTGTTCTCATACTCATTCTCGTGATAGTATGAGTACGAGTATGACAATGCATGACACAAATGAAGAAGTCTCATGCAGTAGACTCTTGTTAAAGGGAATATACATCATTTGCTTTTGCTGTAATTTTCAGAAATGGATGGAATTGGGGGGTTGGAAATATATAGCAAATATAGTTACACTGACTTTTTTGAGGTTTTGGGTTCGAAAATGCTATAAAAACCAAGAAAAACCATCATTTTCCTGTAGTCTGGTTCCCTGACTCCATATAAGAAGAAACAGAGCAGTTTACATACATTGGTGAATTGTAAGGTCAGGGAACCAGTTCTAGCTGGCTTTTACCCGTTCATAGGTGTGTAATGGATTGCAAACAAGTGCGATGGTCAATTGGAGCCAGTATTTGAAAAAAAACCCAGTTTTTTCCAACGCTGGTCGGCCGACCAGCGTTGGAAATTGATACTAAAATACCGCTTTTCTTGAAAATGACAGTATACCAGGTGCCATGATTTTACAGGATGCTTTACACTGTCATTCACTAACAGTCCAGCAAGGTATTCCAAATTGATTTGATCGTTTTATTTTTGGATGTTTGCAAATGTTGTATTTTCCCTTTAACTCAAATTTGGATATAACTTGACTCTCCGTTTATCTCGGAGTAACACTCCATTCCCATCAAGAGAATAGGATATTATGATCATGAGTACCCCTTCAAAATGCCCCCAGCGGTACCTCCGTTTATCTTTTGTTCGGCCACTCCATAGAAAACGCTGCCAAAACAGTCACAAAGGAGCGTAAACAGATCCAAATCTTTTTCAAGAGTCATTGTTACTACCCAACACAATTGTTCTTTTCACTTGGGGATGCAGCGTGCACGCTGCATTGTGATCGGAATCCGTAACCGCGACAAATCCTAGCTTTTGTGTTGGCCGGATCGCTACCACTGGCCCATTCATAATAGCAGCTAGTGCGCCCTCTATCGATTAAGAGTGTGTCCACGAGAGGACCATGCAGACCGTGACAAGGTGGGGGTCGGCGGATTTGGTTAAAATTTGGGGGGTAGGTGGGTCATAGGTAGCCTTGAGGTTGTACAAAATATTTGGCCAATCTGACCTTCGTAGCAAAAAAAAGAGCCAAAAATGTGTTTTTATTAGTGAAAAATGGTGATTTTTATGATTTTGGGGTACAAAAGTTTAAACGCTTGCTGCTCAACAGGGGAAAGCAGCAGAGAAATGAAATTTGCATGGTCTTGAGGTTGTATCCTGACCTAAACCAGGAACTCAAAATTTAGGAAAAAAATTGCTCTTAGGAGGCAACGGCACTAAGGGTACCCCCAAAGTTGAGTCATAGAAATAGCGATCTTTAAGTCGCCGTAGCGTCATTAGTGCAGGTCTTTGAACAATGACACTCAGGTGAAAGAGAGTTCTTATCATGGTCTTTAAGTATCAAGAATAAAAAAATTGTCAGCAGTTTTTAGTATGAAATGGCAGGAGCCTGTATTACCCCAATTTTCGGTAGTAAAGGGACGGGGGAGGGGCATACAGTGCCCCCTCCCTTTTCTGTATTTTCAAAAGTCGACAACCAATTTTCATGAAATTTGCCACCAAGTATTATTTTTCCAATTTGTAAATAATGACGTCAAAAATGTTTTTAAAAATCTTTCATAGAGGGCGTTTTTTTGGGCACCTTTTTGGTCAAAAAAATGTATTTTTCACATAATTTTTGACTTTTTTGCTTGAATGTTATGAAAATTGGCAAACGTGTATATTTTTTCATGATCAATAAAATTAAAACCTATTTTAATACTGGAGACGCCATTGGGGGCGCTATAATCCCTTAATTAATCCCATTTTTAGGGGGGGGTCATCTTAAATCAATATGGCCGCCACCTTTCAGAGTCCAGGATGGAATGTATACCCTGCCCGATTTGTGGCAGAGGGAGTCCCCACATATGTTCCTATACTCGACACACACTTGTCTTTTTGTTAACAGAAGTATCCCCCAATAATCATCTAAAAAAATCCTGAGATTACCAGAACACAATGAAGACACAATGGGGGTGGGGTGGGGGGGTACACCCTGCCACATATCGTGCACCAAATGTGGGAATGATGGGGCTTGGATGACAATTCTGTTATTTTTTGGCTTGTTAATGTAACCCGGAAAATTAATAAACTTGGAAAATAATAAATTGAATGAGAACAACGCTAAATGTTGGGGTACTCGCTGTCAAAAATGAGATAGACCTAGATGGGGTAGGAACAAATAGAGAGGAATTTGAATAAATAGAAACAATGACAAACACATTTTTAGAATGACAACAAAAAAAGGATGATTTATTTTACCAACCAAAATTTGAAGAAAACCATTCAAAAAAACCAATAATCAAAAAGGATCCAAATTAACTTTTTCCCAAACCTTAAACCTGTTATCCACACAACCAAATAAGTAAAATGGTAGTACTACAGTCGACTTTTGTTATAAAGAGCACTTTTATAAAGACGTCCTACTTCTGCTTATAAAGAGCAAATTCTGAGGTCTCAAATCTCTAGTTCTCTTTGTGTTTCTTTGTTTCGCTGTCCTTTTAAAGCAACATTTCTGTTTAAAGAGGTAGTTTGGGCGGTCTCACCGACCTTGCTGTAACGAGAGTCAACTGTACAAAACTAAATTGAACTTTAAACTTAAATGGAAGTTGAAAGAAGAAAACTGAACTAACACAGTATCAAAATAGAATGACACATGGAACAACCTAACGATCAAACTCGAAAAAACAATTGAATATAAATCAAGAAAATCGTTTTCCTTCTTAAATTAACATTAAAAAACAAGAACAGTCACTGTCTTCCAATAACAAGCCATGATAACCCTTTGTTTAAACACAAAATACTTAAAGGCAGAGAACATGGAACCACTAATGCAAAAATGTTGGTAAAAAAGGATGCAATAAAAAAAATGAAAACGGGTACTACTATCAAAATCTTGACTACTTTGTGATGATTCAGCAGTTGTTTCACCGATTGTAATCTTCAATTCTTCATGAGCCCATCTTCTTGACCTGGTGCTAAACAATGAAGAACTAAACCAAAGGCTTCCTTTGCCTTCCTTCTATAATAACGGATGGTGCTATCAGATGCTTCTTCTAATGACAGACGAAGCTGCCCATCAACAGCAGACATTCCACCCTGAGTAAGGAAAGTGTTCAGGGATTGCAGCTCCACATTCTTTGGTCGGGGGGTTGGAGCCCAAGAAGAGTCAAGTGCACATCCTTTGTAATATCTCCATCAGTTGATGATGACTCAGATGTATGCTAGAAATAATCATGAGGAAAATAAAAACAGTGAGATGCGTGCTACATATAGCAGGGTTGAAATACAAATGTATGTACTCAAAGAAGAGTACTTACAATTCATCTGTGATAAATGAGATGCAATATGTCAAGGTCCATTCTTAGTTCACTCCCATTACCTCATGAACTGAAGTGCATTCTGTGTCGGTGGGTTGGAGAGATGGTACACCAGCCGGCGATGTGAAATCACTAATTGTACACTGCTGCTCTTCTTGTTCCTTAGAGAGCACATCGCTAGGTGGTAATTGTTCCGCTGTCTGGTGCGTAACTGCTTGTTTGTGCTTAGATATACAACCTCTACAGATACCTGAAAGTCATATGAACAGTGAGAATTACCAAGTGTAAAGGCCGCAGCAGGCTTAATATTTTTAAACTTAAAAGATATAAAGCGGGGCGTATGTAGCCAACAATATTGAGCAATAGATCCCTTGAACAAAACCAATGTCATAAATTCCCCCCCCCCCCAAAAAAAAAAAAAAATCTTCTTTTATTATTTTAGATTGACTGTATTTATTTACAATTATTACTTTTTCATTTTCTGATGTGGCTTGCGCTGGAGGATTTGTATAAAAGGGAAAACAAATCTGAAATTGATCTTGTAAATGGTCAAAACAAGAATGTAAGTGCAAAATAAATATTTGTTTTATGCCCCAAACTGCGCATGTTCAGTGCAGCTCCAACTTTCTTTATATAAAAAAAATCAAAATATCCACCATGTGTGTCCACTGCCGAAAACCATGTGTGTGGTCCAGAGCTGTGACAACCAGTATTAATTTTTCACACAATAATACATGTCACTGGTCCCAAGTCAACTGCATGATAAGGGATTTAATTGATATAACCTTCCCAGAAACAAAATCAGTTGATCAGAAATGGACCATGACCATGATTGATTCATTTCAGAAATGTGTGTTTGTTTTATTTCTGTCTTCTTACCTGTTCCAACTGTGATCAGGATACCCCATCGATCAAACATCTCACGGCTAGTTGCTTTATTCCCAACACGGAATGGTTTGCCTTTCACTTTATGGAGTAGATGACAACATTTCCTTGATGATGTCCAACTCAACCCTAACTTGTATCTATGCGCTGGACATATTGTCTTATCAGTGTATGCATCGACGTCGAACAAACCACATCGCAGGAGGATCAGTTTCCATGCACTCGACATTCACATCATATGCAGCGACTTTCCACTTCTGCAAATGGCTCCGTATGTTTTTTGTGCATCGATTAAGTTGCACTGTATTTAGTTCGCGCGGATAAGACGGATTTACACCACATTTGATGGCTTTGCAATACTCAAAATTACTAAAATCACATTGCTGCCGCACAGACAGCATGTCCATGACAGCCATTTTGACGGTGATGTTATGCGAGGGCGCCCTCTTTCGATACCGTGCGCTAACTGGGTGGGCGGCAACAGGACGTTCCCCTCCTACCGGATCAGTGCGCACCACCAAAGGTAGCCCACTCACCCACCCAACCAATAGGTGAAGTCTGCAAAATGTAGATTTTGTTACGCTCTTACAACAATTCCAGCAAAATGTCAATTCAGGGGAACCAAATGCACTCGGAACTGTCTAGGGGGCTATGTAGGTTTGGTCTTGAAAAATAGGAATTTTTCAACTTTGTTGACCGTGAGCAAACAAAAACCGGAAGAGCTGACAGTTTTTTTATTTTTTATTATTGTAGTCGGATATCTGAACTATATTTCATCCAAGTTTGTTGACTCTCAGCCCTGCATTAATTAAGTTATGGTTTACCACGTAAATGACTTCATTTCGTAATAGAGCTGATACGTGTTTGTCTTACGCCTATATCTCCGCAGTGAATGATTGCATATTAAAGATTTATATTTCATCGTTTAGAGGAGATTAAATCCTTTCTTTTGATATGTAGGTCGACAGTAAACGATTTAGTTTAAGGGAATACACGAGGCTATAACTTTATACCAGAAACAACACAAATTTACTCCCCGGAAGTCACCTTTTTTTGCTCAAAATTGTCGGTGCCCCGTACTCGGCCACCGTGTGATTATTTATCGAGCTACTCCACCGAGTGGTATCGTCTCAGGTGGGGATCAAATGGCCAAGATTTGAACTTAATTCGCCGACCCCCCACCTTGTCGATTTTTCAAGATTTTGCATGGTCTTCTCATAAACGCACACTTAAATACATGTCGGACCAGCCATGCGACCGCGCACATTCGGAAAATTCCGAGCATGGTTTTCCGATAGACAAACGACACAAAAGAAAGGTTTGCTACAGGCAGTTACATAAGTGGTTTATTGTTAGGTTTATCTATAAAGCAGACACTTTTATCAGAGTAAATTGATGATTTTTGACTAAAAAAATAAATAAAGACATGTTACATTAGAATGAAAAAAAATGGAAAGTGTGACAAAGAACGTGTCCATTTTATAGCCTGGCATAGCGAGTTACGGTGAAAGCCATTCATGTCATGTTTGTGTAGATGACATGACTGTAGCAAAATCAGGAATCTTGCTTAACCCTCGGAGTCGAGTGACCAAAAAAATCACACCGTGAAACCACATGGAGAATGTTATCACCACTCTGTTTCTAGGTCAAGAACCCCCTCATGCACAAGATATAGGCAGGTCACATGGCCTTTGTGTGGGCCAGGATTGTTTACGACCTCTCTGAGCTCTGGGCGGCACGAGGGGTTGACACAGAGAGATCGGCGGCACAAAGGGGTTGGCCTTTAAGATATCCAATTACTGCACAAAGGCATTAGGCGCCTCTTGGGGCTGCTGTCTTTCAACACTCCTTACTCTGCAGTGGTTAGGGTTTGGCCAATGGGAGTCTACAGGCTTGGGGTATATAGTAGGGGTGAGGATTACATGGAAGCTTGGCCTTATTGGCCCATTGAAAAAAAAAGGTTATGACCATATTTGGAAAATGTGGAGAATTTTATCACCACGTGGCCACACCGAGGGAACTCCGGATACCTGAAATTGGGTATCCATTCCCTTGAGATTTGAATTAAAGAGAGTTTGCTGTAATTAAAAATTCTTCCAAGGGTGTGAGGTCTCAGCTTTAAAGCTGATTTCAGCTCTTTTTTTTGTATTTCAGCTCTTTTTTTCAGTTTCTTTCCCCTTACTTGCTGTGTACAAAAGTATAGGAGATTTCCAAAGTTCATCTTTTTGGCACCTTTTTTCCAGGTGTTTTCAGCTCTTTTTATGAGTGGTCACTCACACCCCTGTTCTTCACACAGAAGCATTCTTGTAAACCCATTTCTACCCGTGCCTTTTGTCAAGAATGAGCACGGCCTGTGTGCAACAGACTGAATTAAACAATCATACTTTTTTTTTTTAATTTCTGTAGGTGATACTGTCCCCATCAGTTTTTTCTTCTACCGGAGCAGTAAGCTCTATCGTTCACCCAAACTGCGTGCCGCGGCCAGGCCCGTGGACAATTTTAGCCGTGCTGTAGGTAGTTACATCATTGCTGCTACCGTGGAGGGAGTCAGGGTGCAGGACCTGCCCATGGAGGCACCAGTCTCCAGCGCATTCCTTCCTGTTAATGTAAGAAATGAAACTATTATGCCTGTTTAACAATTGATCTCTGTGTTCTTAAAGTAGGGTTTAATCTGTAATAAAGTGAAACAGTCTTCTAGACTTGGTCATATTATTTAACTTGTTGAATGAAATCAGGGCACGCTATGATGAATTTACAATCTGCGAGTGATAAAAACAGTATCATCGTAGATTTGTTAATCAGGTGATGCAGATTTGTAAAAAACATGAACAACAAACCCAATGTGAAAATTCTTCTAAATATCACATCTTATTGAAACACACCAAGACAATGAAACTGATCAGCAAACGGTAAATAATTTCAAATATGTCCCCTTAATATATCCCCCAATATCTCCCTCATATTGCCTCATTTACATGTATTCCTCGTATATTCCCTAATCCCATTTTCAGGTGGGTGGCCCTGAAGACACAGTTAATGGATCGCAGTGCGTCTTCTGGGATTTCAGCTTAAACGACAACTTTGGTGATTGGTCGACGGAAGGTTGCAGCAAGGTCACCGTGAATAACACGCGGACCGTGTGTCACTGTGATCACCTGACTAGCTTCGCCGTGATCGTGGTAAGCAAAAGAAAAATGCACTAAGCGATGTGTTTTAGTAAATGGGGCGTGATTGATTATTGTTATGATCTAAAAAATCTGTCTTTCAATATTGGAATTTGCATCGGGTGATGTAAATCAATATTATGTTTTGTCCTTCACCGACGTAAAAACACTGTATACACTGTGTGTTACTTCCCGAGTGAAAGGTGGAAAAAAAATCACTTGGGTGGGACTCGAACCCACGACCTCCTGCTTTCTAGTGCAGACGTCTTACCACTCGACCATTGAGCTTGCGGGATCGTTTGGCTGGTTCAAATCTGATGTTTGCTGGTTCGAATCTGAATTGAATCTGTCTTTGCAAAAAACGTTCGGTTGAAGGTGTTTATACTGCAGTCGTTGGTTGAGGATGCCCGTATCTATGATAACCAAGACGTTTTTGTTTCTTCTCAGGATATCTATGGCAACCAAGATAACATTGTTCTGAGCATCATCAGTAAGATCGGCTGTGCAGTCTCGCTAGTGGCTCTGGTTATTACCATCATCACGTATGTCGCTCTCAAGTAAGTCAATTGGCTCATGTGAGATTCAAGCAATTTCTCCTCAAAAGGCTTCCTAAAATCTGCATCACTGTATAGACAGTCTTTTATTTGCCCCAGACACGTTTCCTGGGAAAATTTTCATTAGCAACTGCTTGACTCAGAAATACAAATAACTTCCTTTTTGGGAAGATTGCGGGGAAGTAGTTCAAAATTTTGCAACTTATACCCAAAAACTTGTCCGGAGATTGTCGCGATACAAATTGAGACAGGCCCATAGCCTTGCATTCTCATTATCCAATAATGACGTCCTCTCATCATAACCCACTTTTCTCTGAAAGTGTTTGTCTGGATTTTTTTTTCTAATGTTCTCATGAGTAAGAGAATCTGTAGTTGTCTGGAAATTGTTTTGACGATCATCTTTGCAGCACTTCAAAATGGGTTCAGCTCATACATTTTTCAATCTGGCCACAAAAACCCAAAGCTCATTGTAATAGTAATTATTACCATTGATGTTTAAGCAAACGGGCTTTGCGCCACATTCCTTGATAGAGTCAGTATTGCAGTCGAGTCCATTATAAGTCTTCACAAATCCATCACAAATCCATCACGAGTCCGTCACGAGTCCGTCACGAGTCCGTCACAAGTCAAGTCACCAGCCCATCAAATGAACTGTGTCAAGAACAGTCCTCTGTCATCGTTTGTCCACTATTACACAATGTACTTGTTTTTATACTGGAGTTGAGAAAAGACTTGTGAAGCAATTACTTTTGACCAGACTTGTGAGGGACTTGCGATGGACTCTCAGACCACAACACCGGACGGAAGATGTGAGGTTTTCAGTAGCTGCATCATGCGTTCAAATCTCTCGTGACTTTGTGTGGTTCTCAAGAGAACTCCAGAATACCGACAGAGCATACTGTTTGAAATGTCAGGTTACCAAACTGGTTCTTTTCATAACCTCATAAAATCACAAAAGAGATTTTGACTACACGGTGTTACCGCAAAGCTAACTTTCATTGCTGTCCACCCTACAAACCTTCAAGCCTTATTAACACTGGACAGGGTAAAATCTGAATAATGGCGGTGTTCTTCTCTCAAACAGGAAACTTCGCAGCAAGCGTCCACAGCAGATCCTGCTCCATTTCTGCTTTGCCCTGGCTGGTCTGTACCTAGCCTTCTTGGCCGGCATCGAGGCCACCGCATCGGGAGTTGGTTGCATCATCGTGGCCGTCCTAATCCACTACTTCACCTTGGCATCTGTCTCCTGGATGGCAGTGGAAGCCACCAACATGTATCTGCTCTTTGTCAGGGTGCTCAACGCCAATGTATCCAACTTCCTGCTCATCGCCTCCATCCTAGCCTGGGGTAAGGCTCGCAATCGTTGAACTTTGAACTTTAAAATTCTGAATAATAATAAAGCTCAACAAACAAATTTACTGTAGCGGGGTTTCAACCTCCGGATTGCCGTTCTGGTGCTCTAACAACTGAACTATCCAGCCCAATCGTTTTGCCATTCCTCAGTCTGACAATGTCTTTATGGAGTGGCTTTGAACTTTAACTTGAGGTGGATATATTGAACGTTGCCTAAAAAATTTGCTCACCTCAGATTTACAGCCCGAAATGGTTAATACGTCCTAATATTATCTCTTGCAATTAATGTTTTCACAGGATTATTAAAGATATAGTCCATCATTTGTAATTTTTGTGCATTTTGTTCGTTTGAAGCAACAAAAGTGTTCAAAATCTAATGGAGGATACTGAACAGCTAACCTGATGAAGTTTCAGCTCAGCTTCAGCTGTATATTCCGAGAAAAACAGCATTCTAGGATCTCAATTTCAAATCCAAAGTTGCTGAATCATGTTTTGAATTGTTTTGAATTGCAGCTATACGCGATGTCGCGCACTGATCTGATGAATTATAGCAACCGCGCTTGTGTCGTGCAAGTGCTTGCATGCGCTTCGCCGAATAACAAAACGAACTACTAATTTACATTTTCCTACGGTGCCTCTTAAGACGCATCGTTGGAAATGCCTTCTTTCGTTGATTACTTCAACATGACAGCTTGGCAGAAAGAATAATTTCACAGGGAGTTTAGTCCCCTTACTATCTTTCAACCAAGTATGTTTTTCAACAATAATTGCGCCAGTTACTTTTCGGATGGCTGCAAATGATGGACTATAGCTTTAGTCTGTACTTACTACCTTTTCGCATACAGGTCTCCCGCTTGTGGTTGTGATCATTATTCTGGCTGTTGACCACACCAACTACATGACCGCTGACTAGTAAGTTCCACAGTTGGTTTTGTTTCATGAAAAAAACATTTACCCAAAATTGTAGATACAGTACTCAGTTGATTTTTTTTATTTGTAACTTATCCAAAAGTAAAAAGGGGAAAACGAGGTTAAATCAGAGTACGACAACATTGAATCATGTATGTAAATACTAATTATTTTTTTGTGATGAACCACTAAAGTAATGGCAGGATATACAACACTTTCATTTTGGCTTCTCAGTTTACTTATTTCATGACTTTAGTTTTACCCTTGAGTGCAATGAACAGATAAACCAGTTCAAAATGGCACCAACTATAGACACCTAACTAAATAAATCAGCTCAAACATTTAGTTCTGTCCGATTTAGTCCATTTATTTCTTACCCAAATAGTTAATACATGTACTTTGGAAAGTGTTACGGCTTTTGGTACAGCTTTTGTGGCTGTATATACATGTACAATAGGTGTCAATCGGTGGGGTACCGCGGGGGATAAATGTTCAACCCAATTGTTAAAGTGGGGATATCATATCGTTTGTCTTGCCCCCCCCCCCCTTTTTTTCATCCCAAATAAAAGTTGAAGCCTATATTTTTTCTTCTATAGCTCAGAATAGCTGATTCAATGACTACAAACTGAAAATGATGTTTAAATGATGATTTTGTTCTAAAAATAGTGGTTAACGTCTTAAAAAATTAGCTCAGATCGCACCACAGCGCATCTAGAACATGTAGAATCCAAGATTTTTTAGGGGCGCTTAAGCAGGTACGTTCCCCCACTTTTGAGAAGCGATTGACGTCTACGGTCTTGGCATATTCGCTTCTATTTTCACATCTTTAAAACCTTTGCTGGTGATGTGATAATGTATTGATGTTAGCACAGAATTTCCTGTGGAATTGTTTTTGTAATCCTGTTTCATGTGACTTGTTTCTGTAGTTGTTTCCTGCGTCCAGATAACGCCCTCTACTTCGGCCAAATCCTTCCGATTGGCCTGGTACTCATCTACAACTTTGTCGTCTTCACGCTGGTCATGCGCCAGCTGACCTGCGCCCGCAAGAGCATCAAGAGCTCCACGGATCGCACCCAACGCCAGGAAGTGACGCGCCGTCTGCAGAACGCCTTAGCCATCTCGGTCCTGCTAGGCTTGACCTGGGTCTTTGGTCTGCTCTCCCTGGTCCAGACGGCCAACTTTGCCTTCCAGGTCCTGTTCTGCATCTTCAATTCCCTGCAGGGCCTGATGATCTTTCTCCTGTTCTGCGTGCGCCAGCAGGAAATACGCCAGGCGTGGTGGAAGTTCTTGACCTGCCAGTGCCGCAAGGACCGGGCCGCTGATTACTCCAAGGGGACGGGGAGTAAGAGTAGACAGCGTGATTCTCACGGCCAAGGCACCATACCACTCACTCACCAGAGTACCAACAGCACCAACACCAGCTAGATGACTGACAACGAAACGGGGCCTGATTGGCCATTGTGGGACCAGTGAGGGCGCTGTATTAAACAAAATAAATTCTGGGAACAAACAGGGGTGCGTTTTGGCGGTCATAACCAAGAATTGGTTCAGTTGTTTCTTGTCAGTGAATTTCTGCGGGAATTTTAAATGGACGAGAATTACTCACGGTACTGCAATACTCAAACCCCCAAAACCATTAGCCAAAGAGAAACAACCGAACCAATTCTTGGTTATGACCGCCAAAACGCACCCCTGTATGGATAAAATTGTTTATTCACGACTTCACTCTTAACATTGCAAACCATTTTAGAAATGGACGTTTTGATACAGCAGCATGAAAACTGATGTCACTTCACACTTAAAAAATTGCCATTAAATTTGAAAGAAACCACAGTGTTTAGTCTGGTAAAGCTTTGTGGGCACATGTGGTCTAGCGGTGGAGCACAAGATTCATGATCGTGAGGTTGTGGGTTCCAGCCCCGCCGTGGCCATGCGTGTTGTGCCCTTGAGTAAGGCGCTTTACCTCAATTACTCCTCTCAACCCAGGTGTTAAATGGGTACCGGCATTATTCAATGCTGGGAAGGTAACAGACTCGCTGTGGAGGAGGTGTGGCGATCCTCCCACAGCAGCATACGAGTCTGGCCCAATCGCTAATGAAAGAGAGATGGGCACTCCGTTCCTGTGAATACAGGTTCGTCCCCTTTTACCTTAACCTTTTAAAGCTTGGTATTTCCTCTGTTTTCTTTGGTTGCTTCCCAGCTGCATATGCAAACTGTCAGCACAGATTTTTCTTTTTTAGGGTAGTAAGAATTCTACTTCTTTGCTTGTGAGCAGACATGAAATAGTTGAGGTACTGATGTCCACAAATATGAAGTTGGTCGCTTGGTTGCTGTACCCTTCACAAAAACTGGAATTTGTATCGTTGTGGAGTCATTTCTTTGTTCTCGTGTACTAAACAAATTGAGTTTGAAAATATAGTTTCAAAATGCTCCTAGTTTAACCAGAATCAATTTCCTTGGCTGAAATTTGGACTTAATATCCCTTACACAAAATACTTTTGTGCTGGATCAACACACCTTGGAAATTCTAGTTTTTGATAAAAAATCTATATATCTATCCGGGATAACTTTTTGGGGACGTATTCACCTATAGAAAGGGTACTGTGTACCAGATCGTCTATACACCTGCAATACACTCTCAAACTCCATTTTCACAAACAAAACCTTTTTGGGAATTCATTTCAATTTAGTAAATCTGCTTACACTATTTCTAGCATTGAAAGGCCCCCTTCCCAAAAAAAAATCCCAAATATTGTAGCCACTGTTTCAAACAAGTGATGTATGTTTTAGAAGAAGGAATAAGAGTCAAGATTTAGGCTACATCCAAATGACCCGGCTGTGGCTGGAAGTAACACATACTTGCTATGAGAAGTGGCTTAGCGGCATCCGTAGCCAAATAATTTAGATGGGGCTAGAATCAAACGGTCTTTTTGTACAGTTTTTATGTTTTCGCATGTTGAATTGAATATAGCTCGATTTAGTATGCTCATTATTGAAGAGAATTACACATATGTATCACTGTATAATGTTTATTCAACTACTCGATATGTTTTGTAGCATGCAGTGTCTTTCACAAAGAAATATTCATAGCTCACTTATTTTTTACTATAGTACGTAACGCACATATATTTTGTATACACTTATGTTTATATTTACATATTGTTAGCCACTTGGTGAATTTGTTGTATTTGTCTTTTAAAATTGTCAAATTGTATTTTCCTAGATATGATATGTTTATGTTGAAGTTGTTGTATTTTCGTATTCCTTCAGTGTATTTTATTTTGATTAATTGTAGGCCATCATAATGAACTTGGCAATAGGTAAGCACACATTCTGAAAGAGGTGGTGGAATGCTCGAAGACATTTCCGTCATTTTTCGGGTATATGTATGAAATAAAAATATGTGATGAAATAAAAATTACTATTGTGTCTGTCATGAAATGAGTACAAAAGGTACTTTTGAGAGCTGTTTTTCAGGTCCTGTCTCGACCCGAACGTGCAGTTTGTGTAAAAGTCGTCGTTAGGGGCAGCAAACAAAACATAGTAAATCGTGACGTAATAAACAGGACTCCCGATGCAGCGTAGTATAAACGAGTCCTGTTTATTATTATGTCACGATTTACTATGTTTTCTTTGCTGCCCCCAACAAAGACTTTTACACAACAGAACCTGAAAAACAGCTCTCAAATTAATACCTTTTGTACTCATTTCATGACAGACACAATAGTCGTTTTTATTTCATCACACCTTAGGCTACATATACCCGAAAAATGACGGAAATGTCTTCGAGCATTCCACAACCTCTTGAATGCATACCTCAAATTTGTATTGTGGCCTCAGATTATTCCATAAAACAAGTGTTGATGTTGTTTGGTAGTGTTTTAAATGCCCACAGACCTTATTTTTGTAGTGTTTCCGAACTCGGAAAATCGGGGTGCTAGTAGATATTTAATCTTGTATTATGTGCCTTCTTTAAGCAAACTTGAATCCTCAATCCTGATTGGCCGATCCATGGCAACAGCAGCGTGATATCAGGTATACGGTCCATAGGATATGATGAGTGCCAATTCAGCATCGGACGCACATGTAAAAGTACGTCGGAAAAAAATTGTGTACAGCGTGTGCTTTCCATCTGTACTGTGTGGGTCAAGTTTGCTTGAAGTTAATGAATTCATATTTTCCAAGCACGCTCAGGGAACACTGAAGCTGTATTGAGTCTGTGTTTTATAAATCCCAATCAGCCTTTTTAAGTACAAAACCTAATCCCTTTTTCTGTCCGTGCGTGCACTTGTTTGTGTATACATTTGTTTTTTAAATCTTGTATATAATGCATTGTACATGATCGTGCAGGTTTTGTTGCGAATATACTAGTTCATGTAAGTGATAAAAACGAAGAATGCGCTTTCTTAGACTCGGCCTATAAGTGGCATAAAATGACGTGAGCATTAAGTCGTCGTTTTTTTCTCAGAAATGTCTCCAAACCAAAGTCAGAGGAAGATTGCTTTAAATGTGTCTTTCATATGTCAAGATTGTTACTAATGTGGCATTCCATCTGACTTTATTTTATGTATTAGTTTGTTTCTTCGTTAATAGTAGTACATTTGATTATTTTCCAGTCTTTGATATTATTCTTTTCAGTACCGTTAGAAAACCATCTTACTTGCAGGAGGGACATATTTTGATTTACTCAGTTAAAATTTATATTAGGAAAGATAGATTAGGGGGAAATTAAAAGCTAGGTAATTAGACAAACCAGAAATTTGTTTTTTAAACTGTGAGTTCGGTTGTACTTTAAACAAAAATACCAAAAATTGCTGGAATATAATTATTAGAGAATTTTTTTTATCTATTTTTTTTTTTTACTTTTGTAACAATCATGACAGTAGTAAATGATATAGTACTTAATGAATACACTAATATAATAACAAAGTTGCCTTCTTGCACTCGTATTAAGATTTCATCAAGCCAAAAAATGACACTAGGAACAAAAGGCCTGGTTACTGTAGTTGCTTGAATAGCTGTATGGTGTTCCAAAAGTCGTACGTTTGCAATTGAAATCAATTGTATATCTTCAAAAACTGAAATTTAATAAATACGGTTGAAGAACTGGAAAATAGTCTTCCATTATAAATCAGTTTGACATACAGTTGATACAATTTTATAAATGTGAAACGTGTCTTCCTTTTTGTGGCTGGCAGTCAATTCAGTAATAAAAAATACTTCAAGCATTACGTGTACCGGCCCTATGCAAACATGCATTTTGTGCCAAGTTGTCCTTTCAGTCAAAATCAATCCAGTGATTGTTTTTAACGGTTCAGAATTCCCACCCTACATAAAGCATGATTGACTGGCTGTGACTGTTTATGTTCAACTTGATAGAGCTTTGCTTTGACAGTGATTGTATAAAGCCAGCTGTGCCCACAACTTGCCTGCTTTGTCTGTTCATGATCTGTTGACTGTTGTTGATCTGTTTTGCTAAACAATGCAAGGTTAACCCCTTACAATTTGAAATTTTTCATTAACATCTAATTTTGCCCAGTTTTGCTAAAAATGCAAGGTTATATAACCACTAATTTTTCATAAACATCTCATTTTGCCCAATTTTGCTAAAAATGCATTTTTAAGCCCTTAAAAATTGCAGTTTTCCAGAAACATCTCATTTTGCCCTATTTTGCTAAACAATGCAAGGTTAACCCCTTACAATTTGAAATGTTTCATTTTGCCCAATTTTACTAAAAATTCAAGGTTAACCCCTTACAATTTTAGATTTTTCATAAAAATCTGGATTCGCCCAAGTTTGCTAAAAGTGCTAGGTTAACCCCTTATAATCTGCAATTTTCTAGAAACATCTGATGTTGCCCAATTTTGCTAAAAACATGCAAGGTTAACATCTTACAATTTTAAAGTTTTCATAAAAATCTGATTTTGCCCAAGTTTGCTAACAATGCTAGGTTAACCCCTTATAATCTGCAATTTTCCAGAAACATCTGATTTTGCCCAATTTTGCTTAAAAATAAATGCAAGGTTAACCCCTTACAATTTGAAATTTTTCATTTTGCCCAATTTTACTAAAAATTCAAGGTTAACCCCTTACAATTTTAGATTTTTCATAAAAATCTGATTTTGCCCAATTTTGCTAAAAACATGCAAGGTTTACCCCTTACAATTGGAAATTTTTCATACTCCCATCTAATTTTGCCCAATTTTAATCAAAAAGCTTAACCCCTTACAATATTAGATTTTTTATAAAAATCTGATGTTGCCCAATTTTGCTAAAAATGCAAGGTTAACCCCTTACAATTTGAAATCTTTCATAAACATCTCATTTTGCCTAATTTTACTAAAAATACAAGGTTAACCCCTTACAATTTGAGATTTTTCATAAAAATCAGAATTTGCCCAATTTTGCTTAAAATGCAAGGTTAACCCCTTACAATTGAAGATTTTTCCTAAAAATCTGATTTTGCCCAATTGTGCTCAAAATGCAAGGTTAACCCCTTACAATTTGAAATCTTTCATAAACGTCTCATTTTGCCTAATTTTACTAAAAATACAAGGTTAACCCCTTAAAATTGAAGATTTTTCATAAAAATCTGTGCTTAAAATGCAAGGTTAACCCCTTACAATTTGAAATCTTTCATAAACATCTCATTTTGCCTAATTTTTATAAAAATACAAGGTTAACCCCTTACAATTTGAGATTTTTCATAAAAATCTGATTTTGCCCAATTTTGCTTAAAATGCAAGGTTAACCCCTTATAATTGAAGATTTTTCATAAAAATCTGATTTTGCCCAATTTTGCTCAAAATGCAAGGTTAACCCCTTACAATTTGAAATCTTTCATAAACATCTCATTTTGCCTAATTTTACTAAAAATACAAGGGAACCCCTTACAATTTGAGATTTTTCACAAAAATCAGATTTTGCCCAATTTTGCTTAAAATGCAAGGTTAACCCCTTACAATTGGACATTTTTCATAAAAATCTG